AGTATAGCGGGTCTGATTTTTACTGGCGACTTTTCAGCAGATGAGTGCTTTCCAGGTTGTATAACAACTAGGGAAATACTGGGTTTACTATTGGCGGCTGTGTCAAGCTTCATCTTTGGGTCAATACGTAGGGGCTTCTTTCAAGGTTAAGGGAGGATTTTGTATTGACATCGATGGGGCTGGCGGTGACTGATTTGACCTGCTGGGTTACTTCGATTGGCATGATGTTTTATTGATGTCCTGTCGTGAATAATTCGTATATTCTGAAAGCTGCTTACTCTCCTAAAAGGTGCTGGTCGTTGAGATGGCGGCTTGCGCCCACAATGCTATGAAATTCGAAAATTATTGGACAGGATGTACTAGAATAAGATTTACACAGTCGTTTGCAGGCACTAGAGGAATCTGGTGTTTCACATTCCTTCAAAAGTGTTTTTAATGTTTTAATGCTGCACTGTCGAACACATTGAAAACGATTGCGTTATACATACGGTGAACATGCTTGATCACTTCCGTGGAAATATGATGGATAATTGTCTCACAAGACTGTAATGTATCATATTCAGGGTAATTTGTAGGCTTAATTAGATACCTAAGAGGTAAGGGATCGTGGACTAATGGAAGAATGTTTATACTTTCCAGGTTATTGGCTTGAGAAATGGTGTTTTTGCATAAGTAATGAGCTATTTGCTTTTACAAATTCTGCATTATGCCAACTTCCATGTGTCGTTGATGACCGATGGAAATTTTTACAATGACGGGCTTTATCGGTAATGATAGTGGCAGTGCTACAATATATTTTCTGTTCTGACACATGCTTACCTTGCACAAAAGCATCCAATCGAGTAGAACTAAATGCTGAGCAAAAATTCTTTTTTGAGTAATAGTGGTTAATCCTCATAAATTAGGCGTTTACACGATTTGTATTCACTTTTTGAAAGCACGGTCATATCTGGCGTCATTATACGGTAAATTTAGTCTTCATACTCTACAAATATTTCGGAATGAAAAGGCGTATTAGGGGTTTGAAAAATATGATGAAAATGATATATGTATTAAATTTGGGCACTGTGGCAGAGCATAACTCCATTATGGATAAGATTTTATTTTGATAAATCACACAGTGTTGTATAGTCATCATTTAATATTACTGTACAACACTGTGATTTATCAAAATAAAATGATGGAAATGACTTGGGTTAACTTATTTACGCGCATGTGACGTCATTAATTATCTATAGTTATGACATCTGGTCATAATAAACGAATACGTTGAACATTAATGCGTCAGTGTTTTGAGGAATCAAATTATTTAAGAAAAGAAATAAAGTGGATAAAACTCTCAAAATTGTCTGGACAACGGATAAATTACTAGTTAATTGGTTGTATAAGAATGATACGCATATGAATGCGAACACTTGTAGACTGTTATGCTGTGCTTATAAAGGTGAGGATATGATGGTTGATTGCCAGCATGGATTGGTGCAGCTTATTAAGAAACATAGAGTAAGGAAGCCACGTATCCATTACTGGTTTGAGAGAGATAAAGCATTTAAGAAGTTCAGTAAACATCCAGCTGCTGGTAAGTATATTTTACGAACCGTACTTTAAATCCGATATTGATACCAGAAGAAAGACTGTGGCGGAATATATGCAAAAAGGAATGGAGTTGGATTCACCAGACGCTTTGAGTACCATTGAATGATACCACACGTTATGAAGTCTGTCGACTAGTAATCAACTCGGTGAACGAGTGATATGTAGGGGATCACTTGGGGAAAAAACGATTACGTGTGTGCGGTCGCGGCGCCATGTTGGAATCCAAGCGAAATAGTAGTGTGCTCGTGAAGAACTACGTATTAGGCGAGAACTCAGGGCTAAATAGCAGCGCATGGTAGCCATGGTTACGAATTCGATCTTACCATGGGGTTTTATGCGGTGCATCACTGTTCGCTTCTTATCAAGCCGAAGTCAATAAGACTAATTGGTGGTTTACACAACTGGCTGGCTTAGGTAATGGTGAACTACGGGTGAACCATTGAAGCGCTTCATATATTCAGCAACAGAAACAACACTAGCAGGCAAACTCCAGGCTCACTAACAAGATTTCTTTATTTTACGATGCCATGAATGCAACAGAGTATGTCTGAACACATATAGCCATCTGTTCATGATCAGCTCAATAATAATAGTGTAACACTACGCAACCTGGCCAAAGACCCCACGTTGATGTAAGCTGGCTGTCATGAAGGTTAGCGGAAGATGCGTCCCATTACGCCACATCTGCCTACGCTGCAACCACACCTTTGTTCGTGAACGTGTTAAACGGATTTAAGAAATGGGCAGCTACGAGACCGGTGTTCCAGAAAAATAAGTCTTTATTTAAAAAGAAATAGACTGAAGTGGATCTCAGACTGATGGAAAAAGTCATGCACTGAAAGTCTCGGCTTTTTGCAATAAATGTTAAGTTTATCTAAGAAATGTATTACCGAGGCACATACACAGCACTCAAATATGGTTGCTACAGCCACTCTAAGAACAGATTCCTGAAGAAACGGACTAAAAGTCTTCGACCAAATTCAAAACAAGACCAAAGGGTTCCAAGTGGAATAATATTGGTAAAAAACTGTTAATGAAGTGCAAGATTATCGTCCTATTAAACGGAATACACCAGAAAAACATAGCACAAATCTTGAAATACGAGGTCACACGGAGTACACATACCAAAATCATAATGACTGAAAACAGAAATGACTCACAGTTATTAATAATGTGCATTCAAACGGGAGATGTACAACAGTTCAATTAGCCACGAGTGGTCTCATTAACACAGAAGGCAAAGTGGTGAATAAATTAAAACTTTTTTGGTTGAACGCGTAATATTAAAGGTAAGGGACATAAAATCACTTATTCTATTCACTACACTTGCCTACAGTGTGATTATGTAGAGAAAGGTGTGTAGACGTAGATTCGGCAACCACGTCGAATTTTACAGAACTGGTTTTGACATAAACTTGGTTGGAACATAGGGATCTGGCCGTTTTTGAGTTGTGCACAGGGTTATATAATGGAATTCCGAAATCAGTCCATGAAACAGGAGATGGTAAGTGGTAGTCAAAATTGGAAAGATATAGGAGAAAACTCTCTGTGACGACTATGGGAGATGAGACATACCACCATGGTATCTAAGATCGCATGGCCATTTGACATAGGATTGTTATGTAGGATTTTGAAAGGCAGTTTTAGAAGGCCAAACTGATATCATGAACCAAGGTAGGGACAACGGTGGAGTCTTCACCTACTGAAAAGCACAAGATAGGAACACAGGCATACTTGTCAGCATCAAAAAATGCCCTATTGACTTAGGTATGAGTATAATTTCACTCCGTCGATCGGGAGGAATTGTTATGGTGTTAAGCTATAAAATAAGCGAGTTTCGCAAATCAAGTGATACAACATTTAGTTCCTTTTGCTGTAGATATCGATGGAAGCCAATATATGACTGCTGAAATCATAAGCTGATTCAAAGTTACAGTAAGATGAAACTATTTGACGTAATAAGACGACTGAACATCCCGTCAACAAAGGTATGAGGAAAATTTGCTGTAGCCGGAAGACAACTCTGCGGAACTCAGAGTACCATTTTACGCATATAATATGCAAATCGACTTTCACACAGACGGTACTGAAAGATGAAAGCTAGGCCAATGATTTATTGGTCGACCAAGAACAAGCCAGCATAGCAACTCTATTGCACAGCAGCTTGGCCATGTGATTCTCAGTTGGTTACTATCAATACATTACAAAGTCTACAAATAGCGTCAGTATGATATTCATTCATACTCCCGATAGTATGGATCCCGTCTTCTATCAACGAGCGAACCCCAAAGCCACAACAGGGTTTGTTGACCCCAAGGGGCAGGAAACTGGTTTGAATAGACAAGCTAGTTTGACGTCCACTTAATGTTCACAGTCATTACAATGCTTTCAAACGGAGGTGCCCACAAGATATGCCCTGCTGGCAAAATAATAACTGACTGCTCACTATCTGTCCTCGTGGCATGGGAGACTATGCCGTAGGACAAGACCAGACTGACTCCCTATTAAAGGGTAAATAGTGAAGTGGTTGATTTATTAAGAGTCCTTGGGCGTTTTCTCTCCGAAGTGATCCTCGGTTTCTTTTAGTTTTCTTGTCCAGATAGGCGTTCTCTTGGAGGTGAAGTGAGTGTTAAAGGAGCAGGAGAGATTGTACAAAACACATTGCCTACATCCGGGAGTTTCTGACGACAGCAGATTATTGTTTCAGACCTATGTTTTAGTCAACAACTTCAGTGAAATAAATCGTCGGTCTACAATTGATAATGTTTCCATCCAGATGAAGGTCAATAACTGTGATAAATCACTAGCCATTTACTCGTCATAGCGACCCCATACCAACAAGTCCAGGTAGCAAATACGTTGCTTACTAGACCCATCGTGTTTAACCATATCACTCGAGAAGTGATAATGACAGATTAGAGTGCCTTTCTGAAGATGGCATAGTCGTGAGAATGACCACATCACCCTCAGAGTTGTAGTTTTACAGAAATCAATACCCGGGTGCCAGACGAATGACCGCCTGCCATAGGATACAGTAGGGTGGCATACCTCTCAGTGATATTAACAATCAATCACTCAATAAACAAAATATTTCAGTTTACGTGTGGAGATCAGAGAGTGCAATTAGTCCCTCTGGTTGAAGATGGTGGTCAGTAAGGTTACTTTCAGGTTGGAAACGATCAAATGCTCTCATTCTGTGGCACAGTTTGGAATGTACTAATGAAAGGAGGATAAAAACAAACGGCAAATCATCAGCAAGGTCTAAATATGAATACAAGGGCATCATGAAATAGACAAAATTACGGCTTCATACTGAATTTTTCATTGCACATAGCATATTTTCAACAAGATATTTTTTTATACTTTCCAAACAGTAGGTGTTTGTTTATCTATGCAGACCAATATCCTGCAGTTACAACTTCGGTCGTGGTTAACGTGCCGTATAGGCGGGATCTCTGCCATGTCAGTGATGTCTACCACTCTGCCGTCCTGATGAGTCTCTACTAAGTGCTGGTATATTTGAAAGCTTTCAGGTGGTACATGAGTTCGTTTCAACTAGCCGTAACCGACAATTCAACTAATCAACAAGGGAACAAGCTGCATACCAGCTAGCATGAAAATTAGGTGTCCTGAAGAAACCTCGGGGCAAGAAAGGTTGGGTACACATACCATGATGATGTCAGTTTATTCGACGTGTGTTCAAAAGTTTCTGGAATGCGCCTAACGTTTGTCTTAAAGTGTCAGCAGGACTGAGCTCGGAATCAGTGCTATTCATCCTATGCACAGGTGAGTCCCCCTAACAACCTTATTAAGATTTGACGCACTGAGACTGAAGCATGCATCTATTGTTTTGTTGTATTGTATTACGTTATAACTGTGATCTATTATTTGGATGAAGTTACCACCGAGTACCTTCAACAGGACTCTGACGGAGGTAACGCTAAACAATACTATTTTCCATTACTTCCTTTCCTGGAGGAACATATAGCTCGTAGCTTTCGTAGCTTTAGTTTCGGTGGTGGTATTTCGCTGCCAGCTTGGGTTTCTAGCCCCACGGCTAACCGTTTTATCCCTCAGTTTCATTTAATAACATATCGGTAAACTTTACTGTTACGACAGGCGTTTGGTCCACTATGTGTTGAAGATGCAGAGTGAAGGAGTGTAGACGGCAATGCAGTCCACGCTACTAACATGTGGACCCGTAAAATCTGAATAGTAAGACCTCAATAGGACCTGACACAAGACTGGCTATGGTTCTGAATAAAAAGCACAATAAAATTCATCGAAACTGGAGGCCAACTTACTTTGAATTCAGGAGGTTATATGTATTCAGAGTATGACTAATATACAGACTATGTAACTTGCTTTTAAATGAATGTGAGTTGGTTGGGATTACTAAATAAGTGCTTAATTTTCAACTATAAATTATTGTCGAGGTTTTATGGTGAAGTAAGTTCCTAGTGCGGGTGTTACTACGAATCTGATAAAACTTTCAAATGGCCACTACCAAGTGTTTCAACATAATTCCATGAACCAATGTGGTTGATTACTGGCTTTGACTTAGTGCAACGGTATGAAAGCTTGAGTAGCTGTAATGCTGACCAGTGTTCTGTTTCATTTTGTTTCAGACAAAATCTAGGGAGTCAGTTCTCTGTCGCATGAAGGATGCCAACTGTGAGGATGCGACAATAACAAAGAGAAGAAGGCGTGTGGATTGTTTTATCCCCGTAATAAATTTTTTGAGTAATACAAGTTTTTCGATGGGTCGAACTTTTGTCTTCTGGAGTGTTTGTGAATGGTTAATGGTCGTGAATGCGCTGGTTTTATTTTATAGAGAATGTCACTTTAGAAATACGAAACCTGGCATACGCTGCCAATGCGTTGTTGGATTGTCCAACCACAAGATGTTAACTTGCCTCTTAGGAAACCACTATACTGAGGAACAGTGCGATTCAATCTACTTTATGGTTTGGAAACGAGAGCACAGAAGAAAGGCAAGAATTCGACGCGTATAACATTGTCCGCATGTATCGTTAGTGACACAGGAATAATGTGGAAGTTAGACACAACATCTTGATTAAGAGAAGTGGAAGAGTTGTCGAAATTGTGCAACCTTATCAATTTACGCTGCACATGACGAACTGCCACCTAAGCCTATATATGATGTCAGCTGAAGTCTAATCATCACTGAGGTAGGAGACTGTCTGTGTGATATGTCGCTATTTCACTAGCTTTCTCACTTTTGGTAAAAGTGAGTTTCCTGGCTAGAATTTACTGACGGCGAGAAATAACATTTCGTATCTTCGAAGTGACTCGGAATTGACTACGGTAGTGCAGACCTGTTGACAGTCTGTCTTAGTTTCAGACATGGTGTCATACACTTATATTGGTGTTTTCATTTTTCTCTACCTCATCACTTCCCACAACATGTGGCAGTGTATTTGCCTTTTCCGACATTTTATTCCATTCGGCTTGCACATATGAGGTGTGGCAACCTAGACTGTGACTTAAAAGTGTTAGATTATGTGGCGGTGGTGCATGCATGTTTGGTGAGGAAGAGTGTTAGGTATTCAGTGATAGCTATACCGAGTGCTACGCATAATATTACTCCACCTAGATTAATGTGTGACACTTAATTGAAGTTTCGTTCTTTGCCAAGACAACAGTGTAGTTGTCACTGAGGGACAACTTTCATGGTTTTCTATTTCTTGGTTTCAAATGTGGTCATCTGCATTAAATCCTCGCTCAACTTTCAGTCATTTGGCTACGATTTCAAGCCCTAACGAAATAGGTCCATTAACCCTCATGTGTGCCCCTTGGTTGCAGCTAGCCACTAGTTTGACAATTTACATAGGCGTAAGTATTGTCACTTTGTTGTTTAAACCCTTTGCGAAGACTGAGTGTAGAAGTTCCGACTCACTTAACGCAACGCTTAAGGAATATTTTCCTGTTGAAAGCTATTTTAGCTAGACTGGAACTTGTCGCACTCAATCCACTGAAGAACTAAGGAGAGAATTGCAACAGTACGACATGGCGATTTCTAATGAAGAAATTATCTCTGAAGAAGTAAGTCACATTTTTTGACTTTCTTTAAGTATCCGAATTATATTGCTGGTTGCAATGTCATTTTTATCCTTGACGTTCCAAGTCTTAGATATGTTTTGCTTTCGAAAAGTGTTGCAGGATAATTTGAACAATCTCACCTCTGCTATTTCTACTTACAGTTCAGCAAATTACTTCTAGGAAGCTTGTTCATTTAAATTTGGTTAATCGCAAGGCACATTATGTGCGTGAGAATATTTTCGTCTTAATGATTAGCTCCATCCAACAGATTTTGAGGGTGTATATTCGGAACTGGAGTCATTTGTTCGGAGAGTTTCTCTAATTGAATATATAAGATGAATTTATGGTATTTCTTTTCACCTAGGCAAATGCCATCTAATGGATCCCGATAGTTGTTATATTTTATATCACATCGACTTATAACCTTTACCACTATGCCACTGTTTTGTAAATACACTGCTGAATAAATTCTTGTGAACTTTATTAACCACAGTTACATAGTCTTTTTCACGATGCGTGTGAGGACGGAAATATTCGCATGTGCAGAACGCTGATAGAAATTGGACGAGTAGATGTAAATTTAACGGATAGAGTAAGTTATTCGTTGTTGTATTTGCACTGAACTAAAAACTTCATATTATTCATATTTATATAACTGGTGTTTATAACATGATGTACAGTTGGAATGGGGAGGATTAAGACTAACAGACATAGAGAGAATCGGTGGATCTGTCTATAAGTGCCATTAGGTCATGGCTTGTGAAATGTAAGGTATCCGAATGAGAATGTCGGAGTTAAGCACCAAGGATTATGTGCGGTCTGTAAGTTAGTAGACATGCCAGTGAACCTGTGATGGGCGCGGAACGTGTTACATGCTAGATCAGCATCTTTCTTTGCTCAGAATCTTTGATAAAATGAGTCGGATAAATCGGTGATCGAAGTCACCTCAGAAAGTGTAGGTTACATGATAAGGGTCTCTGTCAGCAGCTGGAATTTTCCGAAAGCATGGTACAAAGTGACCCACATATATTCGCTCTCGAAATCTTGAAAACATCATTTGTTTGTCGCTTTGTTTTAATTCCTCGGCGACTGCACAATATCCGTTTGTTTTATTGAAATATCTTTATTTTAAATATAATTATGCACTATATTAGTGTTTTATATGTGATGCGAAAATACTGTATTTATACTAGAAGACTTAGATAAAATTTCCTATCAAATATTTCGAAGCCTGTTGAAATGAAGATCATTACTCATGTATAATGACGCTTTCAGCTCATATTACTCGACATCAGAGATCACCCACGGACTTAAACATCGCAAAACAGAAATCCTTCGTACCTATAAGCAGGTGCAATCGTGTGGGTTCTGTAGCAGAATTATGCTGCGGTATTGATACGTTTCACGTGGACCCAATTTCCGAAGAAGAGGACATGCTTTCCAGAAGCTATCTTGGCCAGCGAAGTCTATTTCGCAATTGCCTGCACCAAATATCAAATGTAACGTTGGTATCAGAGTTATCGTGTAATTCAAGAGTGTTTCTAGCGATTCTATTCAGTGAAGGGGCTGCTAAAACTAGAGTAGCATGTGACAATTTGATCCTTGAAGTTTTTCTATGCGTGAACAGCCCAGTAATTGTCATTCGTTTCTCAAGGAGGCTATCTGACTTGGATGAATCCAGCGACTTCGTTTCCACCTTTCTATTCCAAAAAATTATTCCTTTATTAGAAACTGCGAACACCTGCCTGACCACTGTGGTCATGGAAAATTGTCTGTTTGCCACCAACAGTGTACAAGCATTAGGTGATTTTCCTGCTGTCATTGAATGATTGGAAGTGTCATCATCCCAAAATATGTTTTGCAATATAAATCCACAAGATATGTCGATCAGCGCATGAAAGCGATAATGGCCAGAAGTGATAGACATTATTTTAAAAGGTTGAAATCAGTTGATAGAGTAGATATCGATTCCTATTTCAGATTGTCCTCTGGATGTTTCCGCTCCACATATTTAACTCCCTTTGGTAGACTTAAATGATGAGGTATTAACAGCTTTTTTCTGTGTGGTCTGTTCTCAAAGTCATAATTGGAAATGAGTATGCAACTGAACAATCATCTCAGTACAAATAGTGTGGGTTTCCCTGCACGACTAAATGTTACACGTTAGTAAGAGTTACCTTGGGATAGTTCGTGGTCGGTAAGCGACAAGGAAACACATCATTACAGTCATAAAGAGTGTTTCTCTTAACCTCAAATACGAACATTTAGTCAAGAAGAGCAAATGGAATGCGGTAAAACAACGTTAAAATGATTGGATTTTTTGCTGTTGTGAGGTTAACGCGTATCATTACTCTTTAAATATTCAACCATAGGGTTTTATAAATTAAAGTATTAAATACTTAAGTATCGGTAGACTAATAGCCATCTTTAGTGGTCCATTTGTGGTGTCGTCCGCATTTCCTCGCCTAGTAATCTTTATCCAAATTCCTGATAAACTAGATCATTCTGATGTGTAAGAGGGCAGGTCAGGGAATGTTTTGTAAAGTCAATATAACTTGTTGATAAGTTTTCTCTGTCGCTGTTAGTTATTTGATTCTCACTGGTATCGTTGCTGTTTGACTGCATTATAATTGAGTATTATGGAGCTTTGCTCTACCACAATGCCCAAGTTTTATACTTATATCGTTTCAGTTTGCTTTTATAACATTTGGAAATATAATTGAGTGATTCAGATATTTCCATATCAAGTTCCTTGTAAATTCCATGTTTACTTACTTACTATCATTACTTCTGACGAGTGTATTCATCAAGTTGAATTGATGTTTCCTACTTTTTTGTGTAGCTGGATTTTGCACCGATCCATAAAAGTGTCTTTTCTGGAAACCTCAAATTAACATCATTACTTTTAAGATGTGGCGCAGACGTTAATCAGTGTGATCGTCAGGTGAGTTTCGTGTGGTGCTACTTATGTTGCTCTTCTTCTGTATATCTCTGTGGAGGTTTGAACCTCATAATGCCTATATATTTTTCAATTGGAGTAGTGAATAGAACTTTAGCTGTACTCTCTGATATAAGGAATGCTTAAGACCATCAAGTACAGACTGTTGTTATTAATAATCGTTTTAGAATTGCAAGTAAATTGTTACTGACGGAGTGTCAGCTAATTTTTATACCAAAGAGAACAAAATAACCCACTCGCAAATTTTGTGGGTTTACGCAAATTCTTCGGGAAACATGATGCATTATATGCTCTTCTCCGCAAAAATGTATACCATCATTATTGAATGGAACAATCAACACTTACGAGTTCCCAAACCTATAGGCAAGGGAGTAAGAGCCTCTAAAACATTCTTTATATGAGCTTTGAAAATACCGTTGACTTTTGATTTAGTTTTGTTGTAAATCAGAATCAGCTACAAATCTTCTCCATTATTTGAATACTATTAACTGTTTGGGATTATGCTAACTCCAAGAAGGTGAAATCTCAGTGGTGTTTTGTGGTGAATAAGGCTGAGCGAGTAGGGTGTGATTTTAGAGTGTTGTGTCGGCAACAGTCGGTGTGAGAACTGCCACTGGAAGTCACCGAGACAGCTGAAGGTTAAGGCATGGCGTTACAACGACTCGTACTGGAGTAAGTCGACTAACGGTATAGACATCAGAAAGAATATTAGGTAGCAGTAAATGAGTTTTCAACGCACAGCTTGGCACAAAAGCGCAGCAGTTCAAGTCGCCGCACTTCATATAGCACACAAAGATAATGGACTTGAATGTATTGGGGAAAGAAGTGCACACTGGATGGCCGGAATTAATTGATTCTGGTAGGTCATGAAGTGTGAATGCATCTACGCCATTGATGCCTGGCGCTCTCCACTGGGTTGACTGTCCATTGGATGACAGTCTAGGGGAGATGGCTAAACCCTGATTCCAAACCTCCAACGATTGGCGTATGAAGCTCACTGGAGCTCACCGGCAGACGTATGGACAAAGGGCTTGTTGGATGTCCTGGATGTCTGGCCCCATTCAAAAAGGCGTATGAACCGAACTCCGGTCATCGGCTGCCAATGGATAGTGGACTCCTTACTCCACTCCTACTGCCTTGTAGGTCACACTTGGTTGTGTAAAGGCTAGAGCTGCACTCTCAAACAAAAGGCCGAGTGATTCTGGGGACATCACTCGTACCAAATTCCCATGAAACTTCATGAACTCTCTTACAAATTGCCGCGCCTGGGCAGCGATGATTCGAGACGTTCATGAAGCCGGCTCATCCTCCCGTAGGAGATAGCCGAAGTAAAGTAAGTAAAGTATTGATGTCGGTTTCGAGTTATGTAAACGAAAGTCTCCATCCATTGATTCTTAGTGTCTTAGGGACTCGGGAAGGGCAGTCTGCTCTCTCCCCACCCTAGGTGAGTCAGTCAAACAGTTAAAGGATTCATGGATTGATGTCAACTTTTGATTTGACCACCCCTAACTCTTTACCAACCTTATTATATTTCAGCTAACATTGCTCATAGAAAAAGACGAAGGATTTTCATTCATATCACATGTCCTCCTTGCCTAACATTACTCCGGACCTCATTAATTTTCTCCGTATTATACCACTTAACATGACGAATAGAGCACAATCACCTATGATCTAAGACAGTTAGCTTCTTCAAGTCTTCCGCTTTCAATGACCATGTCTCGCAGTCATAAAGGGCGACAGACCGAGTTGCTGCTTCTTGGACACGGCCTTGAATGCGTAGCCGGATACCACGTCTATAACAGCATTAGCGTTTTTTGAATAGCGTTGAACCATTAAAGTTAATATTGCAAGTTATATGCGTGAACAGATCGTCGATAGATTATAGTACAAAACACGTGTATGTGACAATATGCATAAATTGAAAATTAGATTACAAAAGAGAATTATCATGAGTAAGAACGACTATACAGTAATGAGTGGTCCTGACCAACGTTCAGGCTGAGTTTCATTGAATCTGATCAGAAACTCGACATGGGCAAGTGATAATATAAACAACAAAAAGAGAATATGCCAGAGAAGGTTATTTGTATGTGTGGAATAAAGTTATTGTTATTATTATTTTTATGTAAGTCAGCAATTCAATCCACAGAGCGCCGGGCCGCTGAATCAGTACCCTTTAGTCCGAATCATAGAGCAGATCAAGTTCTCATTTCGGTTTCATTTACAAGTCCGTAAGACAAAGAATACTCGAATGGACAATGTATTTGTCTTTTCTCACAATCACACCAATAAAAATGTTGTCATTTAAATACCCCCGTGTTTATGTTTGTTTCTAAAACAAGAAATATCTTTTTTTGTTTTCATTTCATAAATAATGGTATGTAAAGGGATACACAGGTTTACACCGGGCCTCCTGTAATGGTTTCTATAAGTTAGTCAAGTGTTTATGCTACTATGGAGCCAACCCGAATTCTCAGAACGAAGTGAGTTTCTTTATTAGTAATATTGATATTATGGTTGCACCAATTTTCGAGTAAAGAATTTAATGATCAATCACACTCTGTCATTTAGTTAAGTCTAACGTTAAAATGTGATAAAGATGGTGGTAATTTGAAATTGAAGATTAACACTACTTCTGAAGGTGGATATTGCTAGTGCAGTTAGTGTAATGTACTATTTGTTTGTACATTTTCGTCTGTTGTTTATTTAGGCTGTTGAAAGGGTGCTGGTAGAAGATAGTGTTTGAGATCAGCAGTGGCAGTCCACTCTGTCACCACGAGACTCTGGAAGACTCAAGACCACCAGAAAAATGGTATCAAGTCACAGGGATATTCTAGAGTGAGGAACGGGAGTTGGGCATTAAATGAGTGTACAGAAACAATAAATAAATAAATCAGTAGGAAATAGTGCGTAAGAGTTCTGAATGCTGACGATTAGAAGTGATCAGAATAATAGTAGTAGTGGTGAAGTCAATGTATCATAGCCGAATCCAAGGTGTTTAATAAACTGACCTTCAAGAACCAATCACATACAGGGACTGCTAGGAAAAGTCATTGCAAATCAAATCATGCCAGTATTTTTGGATTTAGATGAGGTAGATAGAGTATTCCACTTATTCTCTGGATACTTTTTCTGTAAATCTATACTGTTGAGTAGGGTTATTACATTTTAAACTAAGGTTTAGTGTCTAGGGTTAAGGTAAGAATTGGGATTATAGTGAGATTTGGGAGTGGGTTAAATTACAGTGTCGGAAATACAAATGGATCTCTAAGTACCATGAAATACAGTCACTGCATTAATGCATCTATCGCGTATGGCATGATTTCTTTATTCATCATCTGTGTAGTGACAGGGAGACATTCTTACAAAGCATAAGTGACAAATTCATGCAGTGATTTTCAGTGCATTTTTCAACGATAATGCAACTTTTCTGCAGCTGAATTCTTATCGGTTTTTTTAAGTCATTGTCGTTTTGGCTATGATAGTTTAACTTTACCCTAAAGCGTATACAATGACATCATCAAAATTAACTGAAGTAACCGAATTGGGAAAATTATCTACATGATAGGGAGAGCTTCCAATATCCAATATCGTTTTTACGAGCTAGTATAAACCAATTTGATTTCTTTGTGCTCGCTTCTTGATTGTAAGGTATAGGTTCCTGATCTTCGGTAAACTTCTGCGTAGCTTGTCCCGCCACTCGACTGTCGTAGCTTTGGTTGACTCCAAAGGGAGTAGTACTGGGATTAATTATATGTGGTTTGTAGTATGAGGTATGTTAAGACTGTTACTACTGTGATTGGAGTTGATCCTTTCGCCAGTTAGTCCTTGATGAGCGTTTCTTTCTGTATACGCAAGCTTACTTTAAACCGTTTAATTGACATGTCTTTGGTGATACCTAGTAATATGGGACTAACTTGTGCTTTAAGTATCTTAAGTGATGTTAAAACATGAGTTCTGTAGTCAATATTCGCACCTCCTTGATAATCAGTTATTGACTTTAAAACCACGTAAGTGTGGTATTGACTTACACAAGTAGTCACTTCCAACTACTTCTGTATGTCGGTCTGTTTAGGACGACGAGTATGCCACAGAATAAACTGTTTCGTCGCTGGATTATGGTGCAATTTAAAGATAACTTCTCATCATCGACCTACGTGAAATGCTAAGATGAGATGAGTGACAGACGTGTAACAATTATTGGTAGGCTGACGGTATGAGACGTTTCGCTAAGCCAGACAAATGCAAAGGATAATGAGTGAGCCAATACTGACAACGATGAAAATAATAATAGCTTTATTCTGAAAGACATGTTCATACACAACACAGGATCTCCAGTGTGTTTCATCGTAAAGTATTTACTTCTTGTGCATAATCGATAACACATCGTGTGAAGCAACATCGTCCCATTCGAAGCATGCTGCGACAGTATTCTCCCGTTTCTTTCGAAAAACCCACAGCGGTGGATAAATACCAATTTGAAAATGTTTGTGAACATAGGTTGCGATTCACAGACGTAACTGGATAGTTAAAACAATACAAAGTGAAGTAAATACAATGCATTTTGGTGGATATAAAATTTAGGTAGCCCAGTGATTCAAACATGCGGTGGCACAGTGGTTAGGACTCTTGCCGACCATGCACATGGTCTGAGGTTCGATCCCCTGCCGGCGCACACCTGATATCAATGGTCGGCCTGCAAAATTTGGGCTACCGATATCCATGCTGAAAATTCCATACTTGTACAGAAAATACAGTGTGGAATCAAGCTGTAATGAAAAAATATTCATTCTAATGCATTTGAATAATTTGACTACGTGTCTTATACCGTCAGCCTTTTTAATACAACAAAGACGGTTTCACTAGAGTTTAACCCGGATAAGAAGTAGGTAGGGATCTCTGCAGTGCTAGAAGACAGCTTCTACTGTGCAACTGTTATTATTAATTATTCATCACCATCAGCCTGAACGACTGTCTGGCTGGCACAATAAATTCAATCGATCATATTTTGGCGTTCATTTAATTAACTGTACCAATCGCCTGACGAAAGAATTCATTCTCAATTTCATGCTTACAAGACTTTAAAGCGAGGAACAAATGTTAACAAAGTCGAATTTAATGCATTCACCAAATTGCGGCAGATCTCTGTATACCGTGTTGTATATACACTGTGAGAAATACACAGTTATATGTAACTAATAGACTACAGTGAAACAATCACGTGAAACGAAAGGTCAGAATATTTTACGGGTCAACCTCAGATAGATTGGATGTGGAAGGGACGAGAGAAATGAAAAATTACGTCACCATAATACACAACTGGTTGTCAGAGCGAGAATTCAAAAATGCTAAAAGTCGCAAAATGAATAATAATAGTAATACTATTAGTAATAATGTTAATAGTGAAGATGATGTAACGAGTTCAGTTAATGGTAGTGACAAAGATAGTTTCGATTGGAACAGTAATAATAATTGTAATAATAATAATAATAGTGATAATATATGAAGTAAAGCAATAGTAATAGTAACAGTTAACAAGTGGAAGATATTAACATGGTAGAATCTAAGCAATCACGTTGTTATTACTATTACGACTACTTTTTACTATTTATCACTATTGTTATCACTACCATTATTCAGTTTGTAATCTCTAGCATTTTCAAGTTCTACCCCTGATGACTCATTGTGTCTTACGGTAACGTATGTGAACTATAATCAATTATGGTTTTAATTTTTTTATTTCTTATTTCCCTTTGATTTCCTATCAATCTGAGCTTGACTGGCAAAACATTTTAAACTTACGTTCCACATGACTGATTCACTGTTTCAGAAGGTTGTATTGCGTAATGTGAGCTGTAATCTAGAAGAGAATGGATAAGTGGAGATGAAGAAAATAAGGGTGTTGCAATCACGTGATAAGTGTGGAATATAACTAATCGGTCTAAATGTACAAAATGGATAAGAGGGTAGAGTGTTCACCTAAAATCTGCACCAGAAAGGCAATGTTATCACTAAAGGATAAAAATGATAGTAATAATTGTAAAATAAAATTGCAGTAAACTAAAACACTAAACAATAAAACGAAAACTATGGGAATAATGACACTCACGCCATAGTGGTGCGAGTGATTGTATGTAGTGCTTTTGAATACAGAGATCCGGTATCAGGTCCCGAATGGCCAGTGGTTCAACCATGTATAAATGACTTATTTGGAGTTGTCATTATATTTCATAGTTATTACTATCATTATTATTGTATATTAGTAACACTACATTTCAGACACACCTTACGTTATTTCCATCAGTTTTTGTCCATTTCAGTTGATTAGTCATTTTCCATACCTATTACATGATTGCAACATCAGTTTTTTCTTGACCCCCACTTATCCATTCGCCTCTAGATTACAACTCACATAAGTAATGCATTATATATATTTGCGTAGATTTAATTGATTTTGTGAATTCCTTGTTAAATAGAAGTGATACTTCAAAAAGATAATTTTACTTGCTATTACATCTTCTTTTGTTTATAAATCAATATGAGAATTTTCTGTTCATGATTCAGTGTAGTGAATTAGTTACACATTTCTCTACTCATTTCTCATACTAGATACATAACACTGTATGTGGAGTATTCAGATGAGGGGTCCTACTACAAGAAAATTCTGCTTCATTCGCATTTGTCGATTGTTTTAAATTAGAATAAGGAAATGAATTTTTCCAACACAAGAAATTGTTGAAGCGTAGGGGTAGATGGTGAAAAGGTGATGTTCTAGCACTACTTTCTTTGTGGGTGCCATGGCTGCTTTTATCATTAAGTATGAAGACAAACTGAGGTTAAGATCTGACTGTATGATTGTTCACATTCGAAATGTTAGTCCTGCTTTCAGCTAGTTGTCTGCCAAATCTGTCTTATGTGTTATAGATAATGCAAACTCCTACTTCGTATTGTTGTTCCTAACTGATGATGGTACATCGATTACTTTCTAGATAAATTGGTTTATAATTTGATGTTAAAGGACAACACAAGTGTTTCACTTGATAGTGTAAGTATCATATCTATGATAACTGACACCAATAAGTTAATAAGTTCCTGTACAAAGCTTTACTCCTCATATCCGGGAACACTATTGTCTCCATTAATGTTATTGGATGAATTTTTATTATTCAGTCTTTATTCGTGTCTTGTAGAGGACTAACGGGATCACTTGACGTCCTATCGAACATTCAAGCGCCAAATGCATGTTTGTCCTAGCGTTCTATCCTACTAGCAGACATTCAGTAGTATGCGGATACTAATAAAAATAAGTAAACGTGTGTTTTCTATTTTCGGAATCTGACCATCTAATCACTCTGATCTGTAGTAGAGCTGAGAACTTCGATGGTCTGTTCCATGTAATGCCTCTACATTGTACACAAATGTACATAAATGAATTACAAAGATTGAATGCTCTCTATAACCAGAAGTTTCATGTAAATCCCCATCTAATATGTGGAAGCTATTAAAGGAAATCACAGGTGGTAAGCAAATAATGAATGATATTTCTGTAGATGTTAACATGCTTAGTGAATACTTCATATGTATCCCAGAAAATGTTATGATTCCTAACTGAAATAGTGTAAATAATGACTGCTTCTCATGCTTTAACACGAATGATGTCCTCAAGTGTAATCAATCTCTCAAACCTACTCAGTCCCTTGGTCCTGATGGTGTTCCTGCTGTTTTCCTTAAGAAGTGTACTGACATTTTCAACGAATCGTTTTCCAAAAGTATTATACCTGACTCATGGAAAAATATCAAGATTGTTCCAATGCCTAAATCAACAAGTGGACCTACTGTTAAGTTTAGACCCATTGCTATTACCTTACCTTTTTTGAAAGTTATAGAAAGACTTATTTCACTTAATCTTGAACCCTCTTTAAAGCCTTTCAATGACCCCAACCGGTTTGCTTATAAACATAGTAGGTGTACGTTAGATGCCGTTGTTGTCCTACATCATAGTATAGTCTCTAGTTTAGATAAAGGAGCTAGATACGTTCGCTGTGCCTTCCTTGATTACACATCTGCATTTGACTCTGTTCTCAGGTCTCTGTTGCTAAGCCCGCTGCAGCACAGGCTGAGAGCTGGACAAATAAGTGGATGCATTCCTAATTTTCTGATAGAAAGCAGTACACCGTCTACAATGGGAAGTCCTCCACTACCTCACTTACTTTAGCTGATGTTCCTCTAGGTGCTGTTCTTTCTACCTTTCTTTTTTCTTACATGACTTGCCTCATTCTGATGTAGCCACTTTTGTTAGATATGCCGATGACCTCTCTGTTTCTATGCCTGTCAACTCTCAGTCAGATTGTTCCAAATTAAATAACTTTCTGTCGGAAATTAGTCAATGGTCTTCTTCAAACGGTCTTAAGCCAAATCCGTCTAAATGTCAGGTAATCAATTTCACTTTCAAACGAAAACGTGACCTACAACAACTAGTTAGCTCACATGGCCCCACTATCACTGACGGCTTAGAGGTTGAAAAAACATCTAATGTCAAGTACCTTGGGCTGAGTTTTTCCACCGATCTTCCCTGGTCCTCCCACATCTTGCTAGTTACTAGAAAGATGTTTCGCTTAACAATCTACACTAGGAAATTTAGGCAGTCTGGCATAAAGCAGTCTTTGCTTTCTCAGTTTGTCAATTCTTGTGTTCTACCCATCCCCTTTCACTCTTCCCCATTAATCTTTCCTGAACTACTTAAGAAAGACTTTGCTTTGTTGAGAAGGGCACTAAAAGCCGTTAGTAGAGCAATTGGGATATCGTTAAACCAACTGGTTAACACTATTGTAGATAGACATATTATATCATGTAAGAAACTAGCGAATATAATATTGTCAGACCCCGAGCATCCTCTATATACTCAGCTCTCCCCTTGTATTTCATCTAGTAGAACTAGAAGCAGCTATAGGAGGCTAGGTATACGCTAGGACTACCAAGTACAACAAATCCACAATACCATATCTGGCACAGCTGTTATGTGATGAGAAAGCCATTAGGTATGACACGATCAACTTACTGCGGCACTCTAACAAATACTCCCATTAGTTTTTGTTTTCCTTTCCTCGTTGCTTTCACACTGTTGTTCTCATCTTCTATTACACACCAATTTTATATTTCATATTCTGTGGTGCATTGTTTAAAATGTAAACGCAACGCTGTTGTTTTTATTATTTTTTTTTATTTATCTTTTTTTGTGTTGCTTTTTGATTTTAAAAACTTATAAAATTTTTGTGAGGTAATTAGATGCACTATTGTAACGCACGCTGAAAATTCCATACCTGTAGCACAAATACTGTTTGGAATAGAGCTGTTATTATTTTTTTTTTTAAATGTCTCGAGGCTCTCTTGAAACAAAACCTTGTTATACACTCCTTATGGTTGGAGAAAGGATGCGTAAATTCTTTTCATACATCTGATACTCATGCTTTACATTTTTAAGGGCTTTGTGAAAACAGAACTACACTTAGAGTAGTAGGGAAGGAAATTAGAAAACGTGGAGGAACTACTTTTTAATCGAGAACTGGTGATGTGGATTGTGTATGCATTCTGAAAAGAATCACATGAACTTTTATCAAGGTGTGACGGAATAGTTTTACAAATATCAGGTGACCGGTAAAAGATATGTATGCATACACATTTCTGTATTTTCAAAATCTGAATGTTGTAAAGAGTGATTCAGGTAGGCAGAGTAAGAAATAATTCGAAAATCCTCACGAAGAACTGGTTTGATACTATGAGGTTTCCTAAACAGAGAGCAACTTCAAAAGAAATAAAAATACCTTACACTTATCCTTAACAAGCGCTAAAATGTATTAGTGGAGGGAAACAATTGGAAGTGTGTTTATGAGTCTAAATGTGTCAGTCTGATGTTATGTATAGGAGAAAACATCCAGGCGAGTGGATAAGAGAGTAAACCAACATGAACATTGCTCTAGTATAATTTCTGAGACTCCAGATACTTAGTGTCTCTAATGCAGGGCTCTGCAGGAAAGACTTTGCGTCTCATAGAAGCTCAAATACCAAGGATGTACATATATGGGTTTATCCAAATTCTGGTTATAACCTTTGTCATTGTCACCTTCGATAATTTAGATTTGATTATTTTCCTCCAGAAGATAACTCAAAACTTTGTAAATAATAATTAAACCATACTGAAACTCTGCAAACATGTCTTGAGCATTATGACAAAAGGGTCAACATCGAATAAGATACGAAAGTGATGAAGTCTTGAGCGCACAAAGCTTAAATCGGAGCACGAATATATTTGTTTCACTGCTTTCTTCGTAAAACATAGCTTGTCAGGCCTTTCTGACCTATGGGCTTTTTAAAACAGCTTTCCAACATCATCTTCTTGGCTATTAACGAGTGTGTAATGGTGAACTAAGCTACTGAAAACGTCCTACAAGTTTTCTACAGACTTTTCCTTCTATTACTCAGTGGATTTGATCTGCATGGTTAAATGAGCTGCTAGATTCATTTGATGCTAGAAGACGGGCGTAACTCGTTCCAGTTATTCCTTTTGTTGGCGTCAAAACAATGAGTTGGGTGATTGAGTGCAACCAGCCTAAGTTATGCAAGACATATTATTTGGATCTGTTTAGTCAGTCACTTGTGCAGCAGACAATAATCGGTGAATAATTTGACGTTTGGTGCTGCATTCTAGCTTTCTGAAAGCGTTTTGAGGTTAGGCACTGTTCCAATAGCATATTACTTAAATTATTTCAAAAGATCAGTTGTAAGCACAACATTAGCTGTGTTCAAAATCATTTCCTGTTGTTCTTTTCATTTTAAAAGGATGGTGCCACTCCATTACATTTAGCTGCACGATATGGGCATAAGAAGTCTTGTCGAATCCTTGTGTGTTATGGAAGCGATATCAATGTTCAGAATAACGTAAGTTGAAGCTAAGCGAATAAATGATTTTTAAAATATATTCGAATGCTCAGGTAAACATTAAATGATGATAACCCACGGTCCAAAGTCAAATGGTTTAATAACTTTTCAAGTTGCACAGTAATTTATATTTGTTAGTAGTTTATTTTGCAAAGTGATTGTGGTGGTGGGGGGGGGCAGGCGAGTGGTTGTATAGTCTAACTACTTTGAAGGCAGTTCATGCAAACTGACAACACTTGTAGATGCAATAAGAAACAACAAGCACTTATAGACTATCTCAATTGATGCACTAGATTTCAAACAATAGGAATTCTGAATTCTCTGCCCGAAATGCAAGCAGTTCAGTGTGCGAGTGAGTGAGTGAGTGACTGGGTAAGCGAGTAGTAAATTCTCACCGTGTTCGACCCCCGGTGAGTGCTGAAGAGTCCCAAGCCGGGACGAAACAGCTACCTAGTACTCCCAATTGGTCTTCCAACGGTTCTGTAACCGATGTCAGCTCATGATGAAATCATGAAACCAATCAAATCCCCGCAATCCAACACTTGAATGGAAATCATATTTGTAGGACAAACTAAGTCGATAGCGAAACAGAAAAGAGGGTCTGAGCCAAGCTTTCCAAAAGTGAAATTATATTGTTGGAACCAAGTTATTACTGGATATAAGTTGTGTGGTAGTCGCTGAATACACATCAAATCATCATAACACGCTGAAAAACGTTTTGAAATTCTAACAAACCACTTCCTTCTGAGGTTCGTGATAAAAATATTGGCTAGAGTAACCGCGAAAGTATCATGATTATACTATTCTGTTCAGGTAACACATCACCACTGAAGTGAGTTGAACCTTGTTGCCACGATCCTGGAGGGGATTGGTTCGCACTGAATGAGAACCTTTGATATTGCCGCTAACGTAATAATAGCCATCTCCTCAGTGAGCTTGTGATTGTCATCTGAATGAGCGAAGGAGAATATTGACCTTCCAGTCAACAATCCTTAGAGTCTACTTCCAGTCTACCTGCCCTTACACCAACACTCGTACACCATGTCTTATGGTTTCCACATCCGACCTCAGCATTATTGCCATTAGTCTGAAGGATGGTGAGGACATTCCACGTCGACATGCTTACTTTCGCTTTAGTCGAAAGAAGACTTGCGGGCGGACTGACTTCCCGAAGGCTTCCACAAACTTGTGTCACCCATCGTAGAATTGGAGGGTGGTTTCGATTCCAGTGGGGAATACGTCTACATTTCGTGTGCTTTATAGTTTCAGTAGTGGTGAGGGTGTATTATTATGTGGTGAGGTTACTAGCCCCTTACTCAACCTACCTCTTTTCCGGACCTAGGACTGACTAGTAAACAAGGCGAAGTTATGAAACAGCAGCTCAATCAGATTTTCTCATTTATGAATTCAAAAAATATTTTAATTTAGTATAAATTCAACTCTGTCATGAGAATTCCATCTATGCTTCTTATCATCGTGGAGAATGGCTAAGCAATCATTCCTGTTGTCATTAATTTGTTTTCGTGAGTTTCTCAGGTGGTCATAGATGGGTATCGACACTAGAGAATTATATTGCACCAAGTTTTGAGTAGCTTTGAAGACTTTATCGATTGACTTCAGTCGACGCGAAGAGTCTGTGTTCTGAGACACTCATCAAGTGTTAGTGAGTTTTCTTATGGTCTTGCTCGATATCATGAATTTATTTTTGCTTTACTCTACTAATTACAGATTAAGTCATTAATAGCGGTTTTAAGTTCACTAGGGGCTTAATTGAAAGATATTATACTAGTATACTTTATATTTGATCACCCTCTTTTTCGACGATTCGATCAACACTCTAGCATCGTGTAGAGTCATAAAACTCTTGATTATTATTTTCTGCTACACTTGATATAAGTATAAAACTTGGGCACTGTGGTAGAGTATAATTCCATTATAGATAAGATTTTATTTTGATAAATCGCACAGTGTTTACAGTAGTGTTTACTGATGACGTTTCGAGCACAATTTATTGCTCATAATCATATCAAGGTAATCACACGACTTCCTAAATTCATTTATATAGTTCCATTGTTTTTCTCTTGATTTTCACTTGATTTGATTGGTAATAGTATTTTCCATATTTCAGGTATGAGTGACGAGTCATTCCTATTGCATGTGTTGGGTGTAGACTCGATGAACAAGGATTCAGTAATCAACCTCTCTCTCCACCTACCTAGATTACTTTTTAGAATTTTAACCCTCTCCCACCCTATTGTGTGGTTGTGTGTTAACGCATGCATTGCGATTGCTGAGCTTTTTGCTAAATTATTTATCTTCTCGGGGTCAAACATTCTTACCTTAGCTAAATTTTTATGCTCTGACAATCTGACTACCCCTGACCTACTAGTTTGACCTATGTAGTTGACCTCACAGTCATTGCATGGTATTTTGTAAATAATATTATTTTGTCTAATTGGGTCAACTGGGTCCTTTAACCTAAAGAGCTTGTCCCTGAGTGAGTTTGTAGGTTTAAATGCCACCCTAATTCCTATTTTATTCAGAATCCTACGTAGTGTCTCAGATGTCCCCTCTTTATATGGTATAACTGTGGATGACTTATATTCTTTCTTATTTATGTTATTATTACTAGTTTCACAATTATTTTTATTTTGTTTTTGGCCTTTAATGATCTTCCTAATGAATTTTATAGGATAGTTATTCGACACCAACGCTTCTTCTATCTGTTTTAATTCATCATATAGATCTTTTTTTGTGCTACTTAGTGCCACTGCTCGGTTTGTTAAACATTTAACTAAGCCTGCCTTAACAGTTAACGGATGAGACGAATTAAAGTCTAAATATCTATTAGAATGCGTTGGTTTTCTATAAACACTAGTGTGTAGTTTGCCTTCTTCTATTCTTTTTATCTTACAATCTAACATAGCTAATTCTCCTTGTTCATTTTCTGATTCAAATGTGAAATTTATTCCCTCAACTTTTGAGTTTATATGTGTCAATTGGGTCAACTGGGTCCTTTAACCTACCATATAAAGAGGGGACATCTGAGACACTACGTAGGATTCTGAATAAAATAGGAATTAGGGTGGCATTTAAACCTACAAACTCACTCAGGGACAAGCTCTGTAGGTTAAAGGACCCAGTTGACCCAATTAGACAAAATAATATTATTTACAAAATACCATGCAATGACTGTGAGGTCAACTACATAGGTCAAACTAGTAGGTCAGGGGTAGTCAGATTGTCAGAGCATAAAAATTTAGCTAAGGTAAGAATGGTTGACCCCGAGAAGATAAATAATTTAGCAAAAAGCTCAGCAATCGCAATGCATGCGTTAACACACAACCACACAATAGGGTGGGAGAGGGTTAAAATTCTAAAAAGTAATCTAGGTAGGTGGAGAGAGAGGTTGATTACTGAATCCTTGTTCATCGAGTCTACACCCAACACATGCAATAGGAATGACTCGTCACTCATACCTGAAATATGGAAAATACTATTACCAATCAAATCAAGTGAAAATCAAGAGAAAAACAATGGAACTATATAAATGAATTTAGGAAGTCGTGTGATTACCTTGATATGATTATGAGCAATAAATTGTGCTCGAAACGTCATCAGTAAACACTACTGTAAACACTGTGCGATTTATCAAAATAAAATCTTATCTATAATGGAATTCTGCTACACTTATTGTAAGGTGACATACTTCACTCTACAACTGAAATAGAAAATGGATAATTCATATGCATATGCATATATATGAAAAAAAAGTGTTATACACCTTGTAGCCTAACCTGTTGAATTCATTGAAAGATTTTATATTCTGTTCACTAAGCAAATGGGTAAGCTCTTGTATCGATTATAATCCTAGGTGTTTACATCGCACATGCATTTAAATGTGCTAGAGTATGCAATTAAAAATAATTCACTGTGTCCCAGGACTTACCAAATCGTTTCTTAATAACTCTGCTAATTTCTCTTAGTCTAAGCGTGTATTCCGACTGATTAATGTAGTGTCAGGATTTAGACAATACCTGAATTACAAAGAAACTGACCAAAAGCTTCATAATTGTCTGTAGGTCGTCAGTTTGTGTAGATTGAGGTGTACACAGCATTGGATTTTATACATGTCCAGTAAGTAAGATGAATGGTGTGAATTAGTTAATAAAGAATAGTTCTAGAATGAAATGGTCTTTAAGACTTTTCGTTCATTCTAAGCACAGAAAGAAAATAAACTTCTGACCAAATGAATGAATGTGCACAATCAGCGATACATCAGATTTTAGATTTGCATGTTGGTTACTTCACAAATTGATATCAGCTGAAAGAACTGTCGAAAATCAAGAAGTACTGTAGAGTTGATTTTAGAAGTGGCTAGGGTACGTCTTCAGCATGTCAGTTTACCAAAGTCTCTGGTGAATAGTGTTTACTTTAGTAGAATTGGTTTGGAAAATAAGTAGGGTTTTTTAAGTCAAAATATAGTGAGAATTCATTACGCCTGTGACTGTAGAGCTGAGCCGCGCAGATTGTGTGACTGAAGCCTTTAGGGAACTTAGAGACTGGAATCCTTTCACTAGTGTGCAGATGTATTTACTCTTTGTCATTATAATTAAAGATTCTTGAATTTCCAATGAATGGAAAAACGCTACTTCTAAAGTCTGAAAATTTTAGAAAGGTATGTTGAAAACCATTTTGAGTTAAGAAATGTCAAGGAAATGCAAGAGCGAATAAATTCAGTTTCAACCGCTGAGTTTATGAACTACTGAAAAGTTATGATTACATGGCCATACACTGTTTGGTATTCAGTTGACGATAAACTACAGATTTCATTATATAAGCCTCAATACATGTTGTTGATACTGCTTACCGCAGAATGAGAATAACTGCAAACTGAATAACTTGCTGATGAATGATGTCGATCAGAGTCCTTATGAATGCACACGTTTCCTTACTGATATGTCTTGTGAATGGATATTAAAAGGGTACAATTTAAAAAAACTTCTGCTAACAACTTTATATACCCAACTATTTGCTAACTTCCAAGTTGTTTTTCTATCTCTAAAATGTAACACTTTTCTCTACTTAAATCCATAGTTGGGTCATACTCCACTCCACGTTGCAACACTTCACAATCAGAGGCGTATTGTGACGATGCTGTTAAATTTACACGCGAGGATTGATTTAGTTGACGCTAAATTAGATAATCCGATGCATATTGCAGTATCAATGGGACATCGTGACATCTTGAAGCAATTATTACGAGTTAACAAAGATAGAATGGAACTGGGTTGTTTTTCTCGTGATACTAGTAGACCGGACGAGAATATAGATATACGTCAGATGACTAATGCTGAAGATAATAAATCAATCGATATCGCCTTTGGCGAACGCCGTCATGAAATCATAAATATTATGAAGGCAGATTTAAAAGAAAAACATGAAGTATCAAAATATTCATATTATCGTCTGCATCCTGCTGTATTGGCATTGGAAGATATTTGCAATCTGAGAAGAAATTCAATGAATCCAGCAAACAATGACATGAACACTAGTCTCCAAAGCTCTAACGGTAGCGATGATACAACTTCGTCTGAGGAGGACCTACCGACAATGATATGCAATAGAGGTGAAAAATGGAGATGTTCAGATAATAAGAATTTGGTGAGTCTTTCTTCTGCTTCAATTATACAACCACTATTTTGATTCATTTGAATGTATTTCGTCTTTCTAACAGTGAACTTCAATATGTCAGTAGCATAGAAAAGTATAATGCATGAATTAGGCATACAAACTTAGACTTTCCATCACCTGTTACACGGCTGCATGAGTTCAGTTACAGTGTCTTGATTAGTTGGTATAGTGTAAATTCTTGGCACCCCCTTCACGACTAGACATTGCCACAATACCACAAAGTCGATGCAGTTAAATTCACCCTTCACGTCAAGAAGTATTGCAGGTGTTGCACGCCTGTAAGTATTCCTATCTGTCGATGCGTAATGATATGATAAATAGACAGTCTTCCTTGGCTTGGGTTTCGGCTTAATAGTTCTAAGGTCAATCGCCTGTGCTATATGCAGTAGATGAACACAGAGTCTATTAGGAAGATTCAGTGAGATATGATCAGTCATCTAGAATGCTTCTGTTTTTTCTGTTAAATGACCGCTATAAAGTAAATAGAAAAAAATGGAGCTTCGAATGGTTTTTGTTTGTTCTTTACCAAACCACGATGGCAGATGTTCAGTAACACATAGGCTAAGCACTCTAGTAGTAGGTTACATCTTAGTGGCTCTCGCTGTTCGTCATAGTCTGAGGCCACCAGAATGAGTTTTGATGGGCCTTTAAGTTTGGAAGAAGTAGCGAAATTTCATAGATGCTTACTATCCTTTGGTTTCTGGCTACCAACTGCATGGACCACTATTACTATGGGGACTCTATATCGTGACAGGCTTCGTCAGGACTAGTTATGCTGTCAGTCTCAGATACGCGTCTGTCACCTTCCTCCCTAAATTGTGACTTAGTGTTCTCATGAAGTTGGGGAGTTGTCATTTTCATAGAAGCCCGTTTCCCACGTCCATTCAGTCGTAGGCATATACATGCTGTATTATCTGATGTCCTTGACTGTGTGGGATCTGTTATAACTGGATGTCTTCTTATCACTGTATTTACTTGCATAGACGTCAGATTTCTTGTTGACGCAACATTTGACCTTCCAATAGTGTCACTAATTCTCATCTGTTTGATAAATTTGATGTATACTCGCACAGGTTTTAATTACGAATTAGTCTTCTAGGGCTTCTCTTGTATTTTTCCTTTTTCTTCTATGTGAGACCTATTCTCAGTCAGACGGTACTTGGTGAGATTTTACACCTTCCAGTGATGCATCAGTCTTGGTGTTGAGTACACATGTATATGAGGCTGCTACATTCTAAATGCTCCGAATCCGCCTTCCTAACGAATGCTTGTCTCTAACTAAGCTCGACATATTTCCGTCATCGGAAAATGTCTCTTCTATGCTGTATGACCTCAGATGCTTCAGTTTTCTCAGGGATATTCTACTTTGTTTGTTACAAGATAACATCATTTCTAGGCGAATATTACCCATATTTCCCTGTAGTTGTTTCAACCTGATTTCATAATACACATTAATATATGTGCTCTGATGGTAGGCATTCAATTTGTGTTTCTCTATTGACTGGAGCTTTTTGTGCTGTATCGACACCATGCACTAATTACTGATGGATAACCTCAGACTTTAGTTGAGGAAATCTGATTGCAGTATTACTACTACTGCTACTACCACTACTATTAACAATCATAATTATATTATTGCTGTTACTGATGCCTCAAATGGGGAAGAGTATTTCGTCTAGCACAAGTCAGCCGGCGGTCAAGTATACGGCTTACTTGTGCTCTTAATTGCCATTGATATTATTACTATTATTATCATTAGTATCAGCTCCTTAGGTTCCTAGTAAGTCATAAGGAGTCAGTAACACATCTCCATTCTATTGATAGTATTTCATGACTATAAATTATCCAGAGTTGAAGAACAAAGAAGACTGAGATATTCTGGCCATCGTTTACTTTGGAAGTTTTCGTCGTAAACGAAGGAAAATGACTGAGAAATGGTGCATTTAGAAGTGTACAGCACTGACCAATATATATACATATTATGGAGGTGGTCAACATTAATTGTTGAAGATGCACATAAATTAATCCTCGGTTGATAAGCAATCCACTTTTCTAGTGTGTCCACTCGAATTTATCGATCAAAAATGCAATGTGGTCACTAAGTTATGTGGCATAACACTGATGTACATTGAAGTATTTTGGCATTAGTCGTTAGGAGTCGATAGGTGGGAAGTCCAACACATAGATCTTGTTTTCATTGGTACTGTTCAGGAAGACGTGCCAAGGTATCTTGTGGCGTGTGAGATTCAATAAAGTGTCAGTCAGTGCCGAAAATGGTTCGTTCGTCTGGTTCAGACCGCCAAACAGTTCCGATAACTGAAATACAGCCTAAGAAATCATACAAATATGTAGAGTGATCAACAAAAGTTGAGAGGGAAGCTAGAAGTGTTTACCCACTTCACCAACATATTCCCTATAATATTCTGTTCAATAGCGAGCAGCCTCACTGTACTGTTTTCTCTTGTGACTACCTGGTAAGCTCTTCCGTTCTATATGCACCTCAGAATTGGGCAGATATGCTACACAAGTATTCTAGCTTCTCATTAGAACTGCAGCGGGTATCTTTTCTGTTTATATTTGTACGACTAATTTCCCCTATACACCAATGTTTCTGCAGATCTGCCGGTATAAGATAGTCAAAAATCTCTTATTTCCTGTCTATCTATAACTGCCACATCACATATGGGAAAAAGAAAATTCCATTCTGTTTTGCACTATAAAGACTGGTACACCGTAAGCACCTCATTTATTCTCTAATCTCATTCAAATTTCCACCTAACTGCACGACCTTATTTGCAGTCTACATGTGACATGTCAATATTGTATTGTCATTCTATGCATGATGGAAGTTTATTAACTGTTTAATCGAGCAGTAGAAATTTAGAGAAATCATTGTGTTAAGTGAGTAGGCTTGCTAGTATTTGATTGGTTTCATGCTAAATTTAGTTTCGAACTGATATCATCTAGAGAGATGATTAAAATGGATAGTTGCACAGTGTTTAAGGGTGTCTGTTTATCTGTGGTGTAGAGGCGAAACCTCGCTACTGACCGACCACAGGACCTCCAGGTTTAGAGGTAAGTATATTGCTATTTAGCTACTAGGCTTAAATTGGTTGGACAATGATTTTCAACCTTCTCGCAATGCATAATCTACTTTCGCTTCCAACAAACGCCTTTTGAACCTAGATAATCTTAAACATTTTGTTCAAACAGCTTCTCAGTAGATTTACTCTGAAGTCATATTAGTACTCACTACTCATACTTTTTATTCCGCTTTCCTTACAGAAATGCAAATATATTCATAATAACCTTAACGAGACAACACTTTCCTCAAACACTCCCGATTCATCACAGGATGAAGATTTTGAAAAGGATAAGGTATTGTTTAATTTATAAAGATGAATAGACGTGAATTACATGCTTTGTTACAGTTACAAAATGTGACTTATTGCAACTACCACAATAACAATTAATTAATTAAAATGAAGCAAGAATATGAATTTATTATTATTATATCCTTTAATTCCTAGAGGAACATAGGGCTTCAGCCACGCGTCTTCATTGCCTTCGGTTTTCTGCCAACTTCTTCACTCCGCTCCAAGTCTGCCAACATGCTTTCATCTCCTCTTCACATGACCTCCTCCAAGTCACCCCACCCTGTCACTGACGACCAACTCGCCACCCGCCCCCCTTTCGGGTTCCACTCGACGGCTTGTCCAGTGATGTCACTTGATGGTTTCCTCAGCATATAGTCAATCAATCTCCATTTCTTCCTGCCTATTTGTTGCACAATCGGTTCCTGCTGTGTTGGTTCGCTCCCAGAGATCCCTGTTGCTGATCTTTTCTGGCCATCTGATCTTGAGTATTGAGCGAAGACAACTGTTAGTGAAGTTCTGAAGTTTGTTTGAGATGCTCTTTATGACGCGCAGCGCAAGTCTCTGATGCGTACAGTTGCACTGACTTCACATTGGAGTTGAAAATCAGGATCTTATTTTTGATGCTGAGTGATGTTGACCTCCACACAGATTTGAGAGTAATGAAAGCTTGTCTTGCTTTTCCGATTCTGGCTTTGATATCCTCGTCAGTTCCGCCTGTATTTGAAACGATGCTTCCGAGGTAGGTGAAGGAGGCTGTTTCTTTCAGGTTCCTCCCATTTATGCTAACTGTCGTCTGTTGTTGTTGTTGGTGGTGGTGTTGGCCAGGAATCTATACCACCTCTGTTTTATCTATGTTCACCTGAGAGAAGTCCTATCTTTGATGCTTCTTCTGCCAACTTGTTACTTTTCACTTGCATATCTTCCAGTTTGTGGGAAATCAGACATATATCATCGTCGAAATCCAGATCATCCAAGTCTTTTGTGTCAGTCCATTTTATGTCTGTTCCCTCGTCGGTTGCCGTTGTCTGTCGCATTATCCAATCAACTGCAATCAGGAAGATCATTGGTGATAGTAGACAGCCTTGCCTCACTCCTGTCCTCACTTCGAAGGCTTCCGTAAGTTTCCCGTTGTGGATTACTTGGCATGCAGCATTGTCGTACAACTGTTGGATGAGATGTATAATTGTCGATGGGACCCTGTAGTCGCGAAGTAGTTGCCAAATGACCACTCGATCGATGCAGCACTATCGAAGGCCTTTTCAAAGTCGATGAAGTTGAGATAGAGAGGTGACTGCCATTCCAAGCTTTGTTCAATGATGATCCGTAGAGTGGCGATTTGATCAATACATGACTTATTTCTCTTGAATCCAGCTTGTTCCGGTCGAAGTTTTTCACCCAGGTTGGTGTGTTTGATTCTCTCCAGGATGATGCGGCTTAGTATTTTGCTTGGGATGGACAGGAGCATAATTCCACGCCAGTTTTTGCATTGACCTAAGTCTCCTTTCGTTGACATTTTGAATAAATATCCTTTCTTCCAATCCTCGGGTGCTTCGCCCTCTTTCAACACTTCTCCAGCAGTGCCGTCATCAAGTCCGCTGTTGTCTCTGGGTTCAATGCTTTGGCTGGGATTCCATCTGGTCCTGCTGCTTTTCCAGCTCTTAGCATCTTGATGGCATTCAGGACTTCTGATTTCGTCGGGGGGTCAGTATTCACTGGTAGTTCTGCTTCCGTTGTTGGTATTGTTGGGCGCGCTGTAGGTGGCAGTCGATTTAGAAGTGTTTTGAAGTGTTCAGCCCAGTGTTTTCTTTGGTTCACTTAATTTAAGGCTTCTAGTTCATGTGTAGTGGAAATGAAATAAGACTGTTTCAGACGAGCACATATATACATTCAGGGGTTGTATGCATGTAATATTGCTTGCTTTTGTCGCTTAAAGGAAACATGTCCTTATCAATACAAACCTTAGACACGTCACACGGGTTTAGCTGTTGTTTTCCTGAACAATAATTCCATATCCATTGTATTCAGACATTGAAACACTTGAAATCACCTAAATGAAGTGTTTGGTGTTCTATCGTCGGATTGAAATGTTTGTATTTTTGTGGAAGTGGATAAACGGAGGAAGAGAGAATACTTGTTCGATCTATAGATTCGCCAGTTACTACTAGTCAATTAAGTAATAATAAACTGACTGAAATGTAGTGAAATGGCAAAATATCTCAAAATCTCCTGTTGTCAGTATACATAATTGCATTGGAATTGGTGAGTTCATATCAGCATACTGGCTTTGTTTACACAAGTCGTATTCTGGTTAGTAGTTATCATGAAAACTTTACAAAGTGAATTGATAACCCGGTATGTGCAATGCACGAAACTCGTTGTGTGACAGATTGTGAATTCACCCTATTATTTGGGGAAAGTAGACAAGATGGAATTTAAACCTTGAACCTATTTGTTGACAGTCAAACCAATCAGCTACGCTGAGACTGAAATCTGTGATACAGATTTTATGGTATATCTTATTCGGATGTACTGAGACATTCATGTGTATATTAGTGTTTCCACAGCCAATCTGTTGACACGAAATGCAAATTTTCGAGTGTTTTTTAAAAAGCTACGTTAGGGTACTTTTACATTTAAAAGTCTGGCGATATGTTAGGCTAAATGTTACATAAAACACTTCATTGGAGAGAGGAGGAACCAACTGTCACAAATTGGTCAACAAGGCCATTCCACCTATCTAGTTAGCGTGCACTCAGTTTTCTTTCTATGTTCCATTTTAACACTTTCTCCAGTTTAATGAGTCACCTAGGGAGAGTATCCATGACGAAGCAATAATATCAACTGGGACACGTTTCAAGCCGTATTGCAAAGTGTGCTCGCGGAATATGCAAAATGAATCTGATTCTTTAACTTCAAATAAACCATCTACATCTAATTCTCCGCGAAAAGAAAGTACTAAATCAAACTGGTTCGGTCGACTCCTATCGAAAATATTCAAAATTAAAAAGGTGAGTTAGTGAAACAATAGTATTCCTTTGTGTTCTCCCCCTTCTCATTCTTTCGGAAGCAATCTCTCTTCCTGCATGTTTGATAAACATTTCTACACACAAAGATTTGAAGCCAACTTCAGAAAAAGGCTACGGTCTGCTAAAATCCAAGTCTATCCTAAGATTTAAATAAGGCGAACAGAGCGTAACCTTTCATAACATGTAGCTTGAAGTCCACCTTACTTTAAAATCACTCGCTGAGATACATTGTATCGGAATATATAACAAATAATCCGATCATCAGTCAGTCCAGATCCTCACTCACCGACTAACTCACATTTCCCACCACATTGTTTTCAGTTATGCACAATATTGTCCCTGCTGTGAATCTGTCTAACCGTATAAATGCTTTCCAAGCAATGGCCAACCTCCTGTGATATTTCTGGATGCAAACTTATAGACTTTCATCATACGGGATAGAGTATTAAGCTATTTGTATTTGTTATCTACGATCATTCGTTTTCCATCACATTGTTTTCTAATATTCTAATCTCTGACAAAGTGATATTAATTGTGTTTGATGCTGAACGTTAATGAAATCGACTCTTGCTATCTCTGTTTTAGAAATCGTCAGCCAAATGAAGATGGTCTACTCTCACAAGTGCATGGCTGAGACCAGCCAATACTATTGTAACCCAAGAAAAATCATTTCAAGCTGCGATTGATAGATTCTGCTCTTTATATCGTGTCTGACATTTATTATTTTTTATGCTGTATTCATTAGACTCACGTATTTTCATAAATAAACTCTTTAACACACTAGTCTACGCTTTTCACACTGTTTAGATCGGCTGATAAACTCATAATGTACAGGGAGGTGAACTTTCTGGTAAATAGAGTTGTCAGACATAAAGCGAAAATTACAAATCGGTGTCAAAAGGAAGTTCACAGATAACAATGTCGTCACAGAGCCAGAAAGCGAGAAAATGTACGCATTACTGGAATTTATGGACGTCAAACTGAGAAACCGGAAACACGATAACGATTGACGTCTAACAGCTTATCCAAGTCATCTCCCACATCACGAAAATAGAAGTCGAAGCTGTACACACCTGCTCTAACTTATTTCCCACGACTTGAGAAGTACACGATAATTTTTCAATATTAGAAATGTGCGATGCCGCTAGACACATACATGTCTCGTTCACCAACAGAATAACATGCATATCTATGCTACTGACACTTCCCGACCTTAAAGTGCTGGTCAGGCTTGCATGTTGCAGTGACGACGACTTGAAATGCCGGGAACTAATGCTTCTACTGAGTTATTATGCTAGCGACTTTCAACAACCATGTTTCACAAGAATAGAGAAGGTTGGAGGAAAATGTCTCACAACACACTTCCTCCAATGCATGGTCAGATGTCATACGAACAACAGAGATAACGCAAGCTGGGAATGTAATACTAGCCTCGACTTAGAATACAGTGCATCAGTCGGCGAATTATACTAACTCAGTGATCTCTTTGCCACTTAAAATATTTCATATATAAAGCCTAACTAGTTAACAATCAAAGTAATGTAACAAGGAACAGTTTCATCGACATAGAGCATGTGGATGACACTTTCCTCCTAGGCGAAGACTCTGACAAAATGTAGTCCTCTCAACAACTCGAGCAGAAATCTTCGAATCTTTGGAATGGTATTCGCCCAGTTAGCCGATATTGCACCGAGTTAGAAAAGTTCCGGGACTAGTCAAACCGAATTATGATACCAGTCAATGAGGTCTTCGAAAGTTGGTTTGAGTCGCGTAGTGAGCCATAGGCTGTTTGTCGGGTTGGCATCCTGAAGATGTTAAAAATGAATGACTTGAGGATATTTGTGACATAGATTGTAATCGTTGTCAGTGGTACGGATACATTCATTTTTTATCTGTTCTTTTGAATAATTGCTTTTCTCTCGTTTGTCTACCTCTGTGTATTGCAACTTGAAAAAATTTACTTCCTTGAAAAGCTCTGTTATTATTCAGACAGACAGTCAAATATGGTGAGTGACACTATTCTCGGACTAAATTCCACCTGACTTTTCAGGGTTCGTTTCTAAACATTGCCGTCCAGTCTACACTTTGCACTGAACCTGGAAGTTAAGACCGTATGATGGTCAAATCAACCTATGATTATCGCAGGAAGGCTTGTCTCTTCTCATAACCTGGATAATCAGTGATTTTCACCTGTCGCAAACATTACCCATTATCTTAGTTAACCCAGACAAAATTTCATCACCACCATTGTTAAAAATCTCTGAAACGTCGTTGCATCAGGTTCAGCCGCCTTGCATATTTTCAGATAAGAAACAGCTTTTCCAAGCTCACTTTTATCTGGAGGCCCGACGTCTAAATACCACTCAGTTAGGTTTCGGATGTTGGGCGAACTGAGTTTGACGGTAGGCCGGTTAAGTTGCTTCTCAAAGTCTTCCCTACAACCTTACAGTCTTCTATTTCAAGAGATAATTGAGACGACGCTCTCCTCACACTTTGTCTCGCCCATCATTTGTCTCTCACAACCAGTTCCCTTAATGAGCCCAAACAGCTGTCTCGTGTAACCTAGAGCAGATGTCTTCTGTCTGCAAGCTCGGCCATCAAGTCAAAGTAGCAGGTATCGGTCGGGTATTCCTCATTTCATCACGCTCGAACGCACTATCCAATAAGTAGACACTCACTAGCGTCTAACTATTGCCGTACTCTCCTACCTAGAGGTAGCATTCCTTCTTGTGCAACGTAAGATGGCGTAGGATTTAGGAGCGGTCAAATCAAAACATGGCGTCAATACATGAAGTATTTGACTGTTAAGGCTGATACTACCTGGTGGGGGCTCTCGAGACTCTAAGGATCAATGGCTGGAGACCATTAGTGACGTGGCTCAAAACCGTTCTACACAGTGGTGATGCAGTCACTTTTTATGACCTCCCTGATCCTCGTGTTTCTCTACTTAATTATTCCTTAAACCGTAGATTTCTGTTCATTACTGTACTATTCTGTCGGAGACAGATGTTAGCCGAAAATGCCAGTATGCTGTATAGCATTGTGCCAAAAATATCACTTAAATAACTGATACACCAGCAAACCACAACAGCAGATATTAATCTCCATCCACTGAAAATATATTTACATACTCAACCAAAACAAAACAAAATTTCAAGGTCAAAGGAAGCAAACCAAAGTACGAGAAGTTGGCAATTGATTAATGGAACTGGAAAACAATCGCATCTCATGTCTGAGAATGCTTCCACTCATTTAAAGAAGGGAAACAAAATAATCATTTTTAAGAAAAAGGCATAGAAGAAAGACTCCAGTGTATTTGAATGGTCAATATATCATTGAAAAAAGCACTCGATACTTGAGTGACTAATCGATGTAAATATTAAATTATCCTTTTGGTCGAATGTATTCTGCAGAAGTCAAGTGATTTGCACTTTTTCTGCAGAACTGTCGTGCATCTTCAACTGTCTTCATCCATTTGGGTCTGTAGAAAAAGAAGCAAAACATAACGTTCAGCAACTACATATAAGTAGGGGAATAACATATCCCACTTATTTCGGCTAGTCAGTGGCGCAGTGAGCTTCTAGCCTGGTAAGCAGAGATAGTATTACCGTCCTCCTTTATGGCTGTGAGACCTGGCCACTGAGAGTGGAAGACATGAAAAGACTAGCTGTCTTTGATCATAGGTGCCTGCGCTCTATTTCCCGCGTAAAGTGGCATAATAAGGTGAGCAACATTGAAGTTAGGCGTCGAGTTCTAGGTAAACAGGGGAAATCAATCGACGAAGTCGTGAAGTTACAAAGACTGAGATGGTTAGGACATGTGTTACGTCCTCGGGACGGTAAAAATCTATGGTTGGAAACAATTGGTGACATGGCTCAAAATCGTTCTCAGTGGCGCAGATGCATCCACTCCTTGTGACTTATGATTTCCAATGAAACTGTTTTGTTTTTCTTTATTACTCCTTTGTCTCACACCTCTGCTCACTGCGTCTATTATGCTTTTCTTGTACTTTCTTCTCTTGCTTTGTATGCTACAAGGAGTGTGGCGACTTGAACTTCTGCACATTTGTGCAAAGTTCTATGTCGGAAACAGACAGACAGTAATACTTACTATGGTTAATCCGGTGATTAACGCAATTGATGTTACTGTTTCTTTCAGTTGAAACATCATGCCATTAAAACAATAAGCTACAAGATCAACAGTCACATTAGTCCCCTCAAAAAAAATTAATATATAACATAAGACAACTCATCCACGTTGTATATCTTGCAAACACAATTCATGTATTGGGCCAAGAGATCTAGAGTATTTCTTAATGGAATTTGAATACATGAGTAGATGATGGCTTATCCAACAGTACAATCACAATTTTGTACTTCCTTAACTTTTTGACTAAATCAATTCTAAATTATTAGATATAATTAAATGACACACAAAATGTGTTTGTAAGACATGAGAATACAATCCAGTAACCCAAACAAAAGTAAGCAGTGTCGAAAAAGGTGGTTTCGAAGTCAATCTAAGAAACTACCGATTATTGTGATTCATCTCAACTTAGTTTAGAAGATTAAAAATCTTGCACTGAGTAGCTGGGTCGCAAGACAGCTTTTGACAATGTTTCTAAAACAATCTAATCATTAGGAATTACAAGTCCGAGTGTTTATCACATTTCATTATTGATTCTCTATCTCGGGATATGCAAATACAGGATGGTAGGATAATCCGATGAAAAATTACCTGAGTATAATGACGATAATTAGGATGGAAATTGTGAACAGCATCAACAAGTATATCTGTAGGGTCGATAGTTGCTTTGATACTCGCAGATATACTTGGGATTACATTTGAGTTTTGACTACTCCATAACTTTTCAAATCCACCATTATCTGATTGCCAGTCAACGATATCCCAGGGGAGTGGTTCAGCATATCCTCCTGACGGTGCATAGCTAACAAATGTTGTTGGTGTCAACCGTGCATCACCTTTGTTCAAGTCTATTCTAGTTGAATCATCTGCTGCTCTGAAATCAACTGATGGCTTTGTAGAAAACATAAAATCGTCATTCAGCCAGTTCGAATCGTTGGAAGGAACATCAAATACTAGGCGAGGAGGATGACTGCAAAGATAAAAAATACACGTAAGAATGTAAGATTAAAACTAACTCAATTGTTAGTGAACGGCGTGAGTACCTCAGTTTTAAATATCAAGTGTGATGGAACCAGAGGTTTGCAAACGTTTTATGTTCTAAAGTAATAACATGCACATTAGAAAAGTACATTATGTGTCGCTTTGCCAAAATTAACAAATATTTTTCCATTCAATAATGAAAAAGATTTACTTTACTCATCACACATGTTCACATCACGCACGGCGTATCAAAACCGGTAATACTATTTCGGTTGAATAACCCTGGTAGGCTGAGAAAGCGGTTTCAAAACCCGTTGAATGTCCATTGTCAAAGGATAACTAGAAACGTTTGATTACCAATAAGCTCTGTAGACTTTATTCTGTTACTAATAAGTAAGCTTCGGTAGTATCAGTAATAAAATCTTAGAAATACAGAACTATTAATATTTAAACGCAGAAAAACTTGTTTCCATATGGCATCAAGACGACGTACCTGTCAATAATTATAAAACAGATTAAAAGTGAAATTTTAGAAGAGAACGGAACAGGGCCTTCATTTGGAAGGAAAACAGGCACACTTAGCAACTTCAAACAGTTCTCGTCAACTATAATCAGGAATAGAAGAAAGAAGGAAATTGCAGTGCGTTCGCCACTGATTACGATTCTTGGTCATATCCGATAGCGTTTCGAGCCACCGATTCGAGCTCCCTCTCGGACCCTAACCAGGGGGCGTGACGCACCAACCGATGCTAACCTAGCACAAATATCCTTCATCTCACGACTCCGCGTCATAAACTGACCACCTCTCCGCCTTTTCCATCCCACCGCAAGGCTAGCGAGCAGAGACCTGTACGGAAGCCTCTGGGATGACATTCGCAGCACATGCCCAAGCCACTGAAGCCGGTGATTACAAATGACGACAATTAACAAATGGTGATCTCCACTGTGTTCAAACACACGCCGCCGAACCTCAGGATTACTCACGCGATGATGCCATCGAACACAAGCAGTCCTGCGATGATCGAATTCGCAGAGCCGCCGCACAGCCTCAGCTCACAGGGTTCAGGTTTCACACACGTAGGAGCAAGACAGCCCGAACCGAAGCATTGTATACTCGGCCTTTGACAGCCAGGCTTACGTCACGACGGCGGCAGAGGTGGACCAAGTTGATGTATACCACCTTAGCCTTTATTACACAGTTGGAAATCCCAACCGTACCCCTTCGCCAGCACTCACACAACTACCCAGATACACAAACTTAACAACAACTTCAAGAGGTTCACCTGCAAGAATGAGTGCAAGTACAGTTTCCTGCCAATCTTGTTACAGTACTTTGCACTTAGACGGCGCAAAGCACATACCATACTTACAGACACTGATCGCCAACTGTTTAAGTGCGATTGGGGTGGCCTGCGTGCTATCACACAGTAAGACGATATCGTTTGCATACTCTAGGTGCAAGAGTCTTTCTCCAGAAAGCAGATCTACACCACTACTATTACGCACATCCTCCAGAGCTGACTCCAGAATGCCATCGATGGCAAAGTTAAAGAGAAATGGAGAGATCAGGCAACCCTGTCTAACGCTGCTGTTGATTTGGAACAGTGATGATGATAGCTGGTTGTTTGCCCTCACTCTACCTGAGGTATTTCTGTATAAGGCTTTCAAGATGTTAACTAACTTCTCAGGTACACCCCTCTCTAACAGACAGTTCCAGAACACAGTTCTGTCCAACGAATCGAAGGCAACCCTAATATCAAGAAACATAACGATCGTTAGCCTACAATATGTGTGGCGGTGTTCCGACAACTGACGAAAGGTGAACACATGATCAATGCTCTTCACGAATCAATCCTTCACGTGTTTTGCATAGCCTATGGAGCAAGACAGCAGCCAATATCTTAGATGCAACTGGTAGCAAACTGATACCCCTATGATTGTCACATAAAATAAATTGAACCTTTTAAAAGATGGGGACGATAATGGCTTCGTTCCACATTGATGGTACACCCTCTGTTTCCCGTACCTTCCTGAATAATCCAGTTAGAGCCATTGAGAGAGTTTTACCACCATCTTTAAAAAGAGCCGGGGGTAGATTGTCTGGGCCGGGTGCCATATGGCGTTTTAACACTTGGAGTTCGCTACAGACCTCCGCTTCGGTTGGTGGGTGGGTAAAAACCGACCAAGGAGCACTAAAGCTAGTGACAGTGTAACAACAGAAGGCAACAAATCGTTTATTTGGGAAATCAACAGATATTTATAGATTTTCATGTGCATTATTATAGTTACTGTAAGCAATTAAACACAGTCTTCTGATTGGTGGTTTCTCACTGAACGTTAATCTTTCATCTTTGAAGTTCAGATTATCTATCTGCAAATTGTATCCGCCTACGCAAAGTCTGCTGTGATTGGTTGAGTCAGTCTTTGTTCTTATTTTTCTTATGACCAATATTGGAGACGTAAACATTGACTGTCTACCAATTTTAGCCAGCAGCCTGCTCTCACCCCAACAGTAGATACTGAAGCTGGTGGCCAGCTAAACTGTTTCTCAAAGTGCTCTGCCCAACGCTCCCAGGCGTCTTTTCAGGCTGGTAATGGGCGTGCCATCTACCTCACGGACCATATCGATGACACCTTGTTTCTTGCTGCCGGTGGCTCAGATGAGCTGGAACAGCTTCCGACTGTTGCCACATGCAACAGCTGACTCCATCTCACATGAACGTTCTGATAACTAGGCTTCGCGGTCCTGACGTAAACTCTATCTAATCTTGCCCGTAAGCGCCTTTCGCTTATTGCTGAAGTCGCTGACAACCGAAATGGACCGGAGTTTACCCAGGAGTTGCAAGTTACTCACAGAAACCCAGTGAGTTTTAGCGGAGCATTCTTTCAAGCCGCAAGCGGCTACACTCGCCATTTGTATGGCGTCTTGCAGATGAAGTCAGTGTTCATCTATAATACTTGGTGGGTTGCTAGCAAGCAGTAATTGTAACTCAGCATGGTATTTCAAAGAGATAGCAGGTGCTACCAGTAGCTCACATCAACGTTTAGATGACGCCTTTTATCAACCTCACCAAATCGCAAGACGAACTTGGCACACACTAACACATGACTGGAGTCCAGGCATGTGCTCCAGAAGGAGCGACAGTCTTGTAAGCATCCTCGCCCTCGGAAACTGACGATAATATGATCGATCTGAGTCCAAGCTTAATTCGCAGAGGGAGGACACCAGGTAGCGCTACGGCGACGGCTGTGCCAAAAGTTGGTGCTGGCTAGGAATAGGTTGTGATCTGCATAAAGCTACAGTAGACAATCCCCATTATCTGACCCACGATCATGTTAACCCCAATGACCACCCTGACGATTCTCCTATGAGCTTGGACGCCCAACCTGTGCATTTAAGTCACCAGTTAGCACTAAGATATCCCTCCGACCCGCCATTTTCAAGAGATCGCTCGATTGGTAGGGCCCATTCTTAATTGCATTCGGGCTGCAATCCTTCGGTGCATAGGCGGAAACAACAAACAGACACCGCTTATTTGTCCTACCACTGCTTACTTCCGTATAACCTTCCAGCTTCACAGCAAATAAACTACTGTTAATGGGGATCCAGTCAAGTAATGCAGCTTCGGTTCTAGCGCTTAGTGCAACACCGATACCAGCTACGCTGGATGCCGATACCACAGGGTCGCCGGACAAGCACATGTGATAAATACTACTAGAACTTTCAAATGGAGAGAATCTATGTATAAAAATAAAAGTAAGGTTGGAAAGAGATGTGTTACTTGAGACATCATTATTGCTTTAAAGCATTGTTACTAGCACACCATAAGTTCCACTGATAGTTGTTGCTTCATTTCATTTATTGTGTGACAACTGAGATACTGCCCGGGCGCTCAAACCGAAGCAGGTGGTTTTCATAAGAGACCACCTCCCCCCCAGAGCCTTTGACTTACAGTCTAATCCGCAAGGCAGAGAAGCAGCGTCAGTGATCAATATAGGTTCATACGCCATTTGATCCGATTGAATTCTGTACCCCATCGTAACTGCTTTTAGTCTAACCGCTATCCAAACAACTTTTCTGACATGGTACGACCCGTAGGAACGTGAGTCCCATCCAGTTTAACTTGTTGGGTCACTGCGGTATTCAAGCCGAACCACCATGACAAAGTAGCAGTTTTCGGCCGGGGAAAATACAAAATAATACCGATCAGTCTGGTTTCTGTATAACTAGTCACAGCAGCTGGACAAGAAAACAAGGAAATATAATATGAATTACATTAATGATTTGAACATACTTTTCCACGATCACAAGAAGTAATTGGTAGGAAGTAAAAGTAACATTAGTCCGGAATGATTTAACTAATTAACAGTTACAAACACTGACTATTTATAGAACAATTACACGATTAGGCTTGGAAACAAAAAAATGCAGTTGCGTATAGAAACAAGGTTAAGCTAGAAAGGGCATAACAAAAAACAATTTGGATTACGTAACTGAAGAAAATGTTTTACCTAATAGCCAATATGAAAAGAAAAGAACAAGATAAGGTGGGTCATGTTTAGATGAGAGAGTAGAGTTTTCTAAACAAGAAAAAGGGTGACTCATAAAAGTTGTATGTTTTGTTATCACCACGGCAATGAAAGATTCACCACTGTCTCTTTCTGCGTACATAGATTTGGTTTGAGTCGTTTGATAGCAATTGCTTCAGCAAAGCGCAGCAAGCCAGGTTTCTTTTGCTTGTTGATTATTTTGAACGACTTCAGGTTGTCTACAATATGACCAGTGCCCGGTAGACGATGCGCAATCGTACTGTTTAATGCTTGCGGACCTTTCAGTCTCAGGTTCTTTTTGGTGTATGTGTTCAGAAATGCGGACAATAACCCTTCTCTCTGTTCTTTAATGTAATTCATATTTTTTAACGTTCAGGTTGTAACCAGTTGAGAAGAATCCTCGATTAAATAGTAAAAGATGAGCTCATATTATCCTGGTACAATTGTTGTTCTTGCTTTGTTCAAGTTTATTAATGGGAAGAATTGCATGAAGTTTTTAAGGAAATCTAAATTTTATGTATACGCATATGATGTAAAACTTCTTCCGAATGACAGGAGTCATAATAAACATATGCTATCAAGTAGCACACTGACACGCCACTAGAATCAAAGTCAACGAAACAGCATAGTAGACTATAGGAAGCAGTATACAATTCCAGTATGCAGTCTAATAATGTTATTTAGAAATCTAGTTCAAATTTGTGCACAAGAGTATTAGCCACATTATTTTCTGTTATTATCAATAATACCTCATTTTTAAAAACCAATATATATATGTAGGTGGGTTCAGCTAAGTCAATAAACTAAGTTTGAAAACTACTGCTAAAAGCTATTAAGACGTCCACTTTCGTTATCGAATGTTTTAACTTACTGTAATACATAAATACTGTAAGGGAATGCATAGCGTAGAGCAATGGCAACAATGACCAATTCAACGCATATTAGTAAATTCTTGTAAATACCGGCAATTATTGTAGCTGAATATCCATTGGTTGTAGTTATTACATGGCTCCATTCCAATATGCTAAATAATACATCTGAAACAAAGAAAAAGAACATCGGTTGAAAACTATTAGAGTAAAAGTGAAAACACTCAGTAATTCAGCATACGGGAAGTATGTTGGTTTGCACTTTTGATATCACGGAAAATTAGTTAGGGAATTCACATTAAAAATCATTGAACAAGGAGTTCGAATGGTACGTGAAATGACATTGAATAAAATAATAAATTGCGACAGTCGCAGAGTGGTAGTGAAACTGCTCCTTGTCAACCACTTATTTACACACTATCCCAACCCAGTATGCACTGTATGTGTAACATATTATTCGATGTACCTGGTAAGCCCATCACTCATTATGTAATGCTCTAAACTTAACCTAATTATTACAGTCCGCGTGATATACGCCAAATTCAACTACTTTACCGGCTTGTCTCAAGCACATAATAGGGGGGAATTGGGTAGTGAGGCGAGAAACCTCATCCCACAAGAACAACTTGCACATCTACGAAAGCTACAAAGCACAAGAAAAATGAAATTATTCACCATGTCCCCTGCATAGATGAAAAGATATGGAAAAGAAGTGTTATGAATCCCTGGAATCAGGCTGAATGCAAGTGGATTCTCCACATTGTTAACTGGAGAGACAATAAACCAGTTAGGTCATCCACGCGGGAACCATGAAAACACGAGGACGTGACAATCAACATGTTAGCAACAGCACCAGAGATCCTTACGAAGTGAGAGCCAATCACTCTTAAAAACACGATAGCAGGATTCGATTCGAAAGGTAGGAAAGCTACGAGTGCAAATGCCACACTCTTATAATGAACGCAACGGTGAGTGTGACTGCAGAAAATTCGAGGAAACAAAGATGTGTCACTGATGTCTTACATCTTAGAGAATGAATAATAATAATACATTATACGAGATAAAACAGGATTTACAATGCAGATACTTATTATCAGAGACAGCTGGCCTACTAACATTCTTGAATTTCAACAACCATGTTTCACAGGAATAGAGAAGGTTGGAGGAAAATGTCTCACAACACACCTCCTCCAATGCATGGTCAGATGTCATACGAGCAACAGAGATAACGCAAGCTGGGGAATGTAATACTAGCCTCGACTTAGAATACAGTGCATCAGTCGGTGCATTATACTATCTCAGTGATCTCTTTGCCACTTAAAATATTTCATATATAAAGCCTAACTAGTTAACAATCAAAGTAATGTAACCAGGAACAGTTTCATTGACATAGAGCAGGTGGATAACACTTTCCTCCTAGGCGAAGACTCTGACAAAATCCAGTCCTCTCAACAACTCGAGCAGAAATCCTCGAATCTTTGGAATGGTATTCGCCCCTGTCAGATGTAAGATGGAGCCGCTGGACTGATCCACGCCGACTTATAGCTTAAAGATATGAAGTTCAGTGGTAGAATGTGCTGACCACTTCACCTATTCGAGAAGTTGAATCAGCCCTAACGGACTGATTGGTGACGACACCTCAGCATGGATGCAGAATTCTCGTTTGTGGTGTTTCCCCCACCCAACTCATCTCCAGCGTAAGTGTGATATCCGCCTCTGTCTGTCTGTTTCCGACATAGAACTTTGCACAAATGTGCAGAAGTTCAAGTCGCCACACTCCTTGTAGCATACAAAGCAAGAGAAGAAAGTACAAGAAAAGCATAATAGACGCAGTGAGCAGAGGTGTGAGACAAAGGAGTAATAAAGAAAAACAAAACAGTTTCATTGGAAATCATAAGTCACAAGGAGTGGATGCATCTGCGCCACTGAGAACGATTTTGAGCCATGTCACCAATTGTTTCCAACCATTGATTTTTACAGTCCCGAGGACCCCAACAAGGAAGTCTACACCTTCCTACGTGGCTTAGACCAACTGTTGTGGATTTCATTGACTGATGAGGCCATGTTTTTGTTTGACCGCCGCTAGCTTTTATCCAGCCTGACCCTATATCCGCTAACATTGCTCGTCGAGGGAGGCGATGGCTTGGCATACGTAACACATGTCCTAACCATCTCAGTCTTTGTAACTTCACGACTTCGTCGATTGATTTCCCCTGTTTACCTAGAACTCGACGCCTAACTTCAATGTTGCTCACCTTATTATGCCACTTTACGCGGGAAATAGAGCGCAGTCACCTATGATCAAAGACAGCTAGTCTTTTCATGTCTTCCACTCTCAGTGGCCAGGTCTCACAACCATAAAGGAGGACAGAGCGGACTGATGAGCAGTACACCCGCCCTTTGGTCGATAGTCGAACATCTCGTCTACGCCAGAGTCGGCGTAAACTGGCAAATGCGAAACTAGCCCCCTGTATTCGTGTTGAGATTTCGTCAGAGATCAACCCGTTGGCACTGGCTGATGGTACTTCCCAAATAAGTGAAGCGGTCAACGTGCTGTACCACATCACTTCCTATTTTTAAACTAGGCCTCGATGTAGCCCAGTCCTGTAACATCATCTTGCATTTGGCGGGAGCGAATCGCATGCAAAACATTCGTAGATTGCAGCTCAAGGTGTTTAGAAGACTCTGCATTTTGTCAGTGTCTTCGCCTAGAAGGACTATATCGTCTGCATATTCCAAGTCAACGAGATTGTTCCCTGGTAGCAAGTCAATCCCTGAATCGCTGAAGTGAGTTACGCTTAAGTCCATTAGTACATCTATGACGAAGTTGAATAGAAATGGGGATAATCGGCATCCTTTACGGACACCACTAGTCGTCACCGGTTCAGATGACAGCTCGCCGTAAGACCTCACCTGGCTGTATGAGTACGAGTAGAGTGCCTTAATCAGTGCAATATATTTTCTCGTCATTCCCTTTACAGCCAAGCATAGCCAAAGTACCTCTCGGTCGACAGAATCGAATTCCGCTTTCAGGTCAAGAAATATAATGACTGTTGGACGCCGGTAGGAATGCGTATGTTCTAGAGTCTGTCGGAGGGTGAAGATATGATCAATACACCCTCTTCCTGGTCTAAAGCCTGCCTGGCTTTCTCGTGTTTGTGCCTCCTGAGCGCCACTCAATCTACGCAATATTATCGAACCTAGGACTTTAGATACTATATTAGTCAACCTGATCCCTCTGTGATTATCATAGGGAGACTTGTCTCCCTTCTTGTATATGGGGATAATCAGTGACTTACACTAACCAGATGGGACTTCCTCTGATTCCCAGACGCTGCCTAGTACCTCAGTTAATGCAGACAGTAAACTGTCTCCACCATACTTAAATACCTCTGGAGTCATTCCATCAGGTCCCGCTGCTTTGCCTCGTTTCAGATTAGTGACAGCTTTAGTAACCTCAGTTAGGGATGGAGGAGCTGTGTCTATATCCCATTCAGGGAGGTGTTGGATGTTCGGAAGGTTGAGCGTGGCTGTGGGCCAATTAAACTGCTCCTCATAATGCTCTTTCCAGCGATCCAGTCGTCTATCCTGGGAGCTAATTATAGTGCCATTTTTTTCCGAGATTGTTTCACTAATGATTTGTCTTCTCCCACCCGTTTCCCTGATGAGTCTAAATAGTTGCCTGGTGTTGCCTATCCTCGAAGCTTTCTCCATCTCTTTCGCTTTTGCCACCCACCGCCCACCGATCAAGGGATGTATGCAATGTACAGAAATCCGCTCTGTCCTCCTTCCTGGCTGACACACATACCCGATGAGAGTGTAAGACCTGGAGACAATAGTTGTCTTTGATCACATATGTTTGCGTCCTATCTCCCGTGTGAAGTGGTCTAATATGGTGGGTAATATTGGGCTTGGGCGTAGTGTTAGGCAAGAAGGACAAGTCAATCAGTGAGGTGGTGAAGTTGAATTAAGATGTCTAGGACACGCGTTGAGCATCCTGAGCCATCGCCTTGCTAGACAGGCAATCTTAGCCTATAGAGCATTGAGTTAGGAAATTTCCGGGATTAGTAAAACCGAATTCTGACACTAGTCAAGGAGGTCTTCGATAGTTGATTTGATTCGCATAGTGAGCCATAGGCCGTTTGTCGGGTTGGCATCTTGAAGATGTTGAGAATGAATAGCTTTCAAACTTTTGGTAATGTGACTTGAAAACGATGTCAGTAGTCCAGGCGCTCTCACTTTTACTAACCTCCCAGATGCTGCAGCTCCTGACGGCTGTCCCTGATTTAATTCTTTCTCCTCTACACTTTTATTAATAATAGTAGTTTTGAATATTTGGTGCAGCTCTACTTACGTGGAAATTGGTCAGGCAGTTAGAAGCTGTTTGGGGATTATTATCATTCCCTTGCCCTCGGGGTAAAACATAGAGCTACAAGAACCTGTCTCAATTTTTTCCTGTTCTCTGCAGTCCTCTGTATTTGGCCCACGATTGCCTGCGAGCTTTCATTTCCTTCTCATACGTTCTCCTTCATATCACCTTCAGACGTTAAGATCGTTGTTTCCCATTCGGGTTGCACCCGAGGGTCTAGAGTGAAACGTTATACAGTGGTTTCTTTAATTTGCGTCCAACCTACCCCATTTTTTTTAACATATTTGCTGAGCGATAAGTCCTAAGTCAGCTCATTCCCACAGTTTCTGTTTCATGGTCATTTGGTCTTCATTGTGGAGAAAAGGTAGCTCATTATAAAAGTCTGCAGCTTGTTGGAAATACTTTCCATGCCGCGGCAAGTAGCTGACCCATATAGACGGACTAACTTAAGGATACAGATGTATTGAAATTTAAATCAATAGTAAACGTCTGACGACAGTGAAGATACCAGAAGACATATATGTGATAAAAATAAAACAAGGAAGGTCTATATACAACAATAAAAATAAAATAAAAAGGGATTAGGTTGTTGAACATATTGTTGCTAGAATAATCTGTGAAAGTGTGCATTCGAGTAGAACTTTTTTCTGACTGTAATTGAGCGAGGGCTGAAGACACCCAAGTGGCTTTCCCAAGAGCACCAAATCATGAGGCTTTGGCTTTGAGTTTGACCTACAAGGCAGTAGGCTAGAGTCAGCAGCTGCCAACCAAAACAGATTCAAAAGCCAATCGATCTTTTCGGATTTTGGAGCCTATACGCACAAGAGACGCGGAATAACAGTTTCACAGCTCCCCTAAAAGAACTTTTATGTCGACCAGTTCAGTGATAAACGCTGGAAATTCGTGTATACCCTTTTACTCTTGTGATTATGACTAAGTTATTCGGCCCATGACTCACCCCCTATTTAAATGATAACAGTGAATGTATGGAGTTAATTACAGAAAGCAGAATTTAAAATTGTGCAAAGGCAGATCAAAACACTGGTTTATTTGTAACATATTTTAAAATGGCACCACAGTGCTCAGACTTTTTACTGACATTAATGATGACAAAAGACTTCGTTATCAGATGAAAGGCTTTTAAATTTGTTTCACACAAGTAGCACTTTCACAATATATGCTCAACTACAGGTTTGAATTTTGACTATGTTATGTTATCTGCTTACAAAATTTAATTATGACAATAATCATTCCACATTATCAGTTAAATTGTAAAAATGAAACACATGTCACATACCTTGCCAAAAACTAAAAAAGATGATTGATTTGATTGTAGCGAATTTGAGCAATGGAGAAAATGGTTTCAATTGCTCTCGAGTCGCAAAATAAAATAATAGTAAGCCATATACAGCAAGAGTTACTGTAATATTGTTGATGAGAAATAAGTACAGGTAACCTGAAGTGATGCTAAGGGAAAACAGAAAACGACACTGAAGATAAAAAAGATAACAAAAACTATATACTGAAATCACGTGTTGTACTGAATTCAAATGGCAAAAACATAAATCCATAAGGCAGTGGAATCACAACCTGTAATTTATCCAATTTGAGAGTAACACTTGTACTACATAAATATGTTGCGAAAGGTACTTTACGAATCTTTGTAATGAACTCGGAATCCTCACTATTGTCAGAGGACAATATGGAGATGATGTAAAGAGGTAAGGAAAGCTTGTGGGCAGTCGTAGAGCCAGGTGAAATTAGAAGCAGAAAGCCGCGTGGAATGGACATTAGGCCCTGAACTCCTGTATTCAACTCGGAAAAATAATAATAACAGTGAATGAATGGGAACAGATTTTGTCTTGATTACAAACGTTAACAGTCAATTAGCAAACAGCAGACTGCTAGTAGCTATCAGCATGGTTATTTATGAATTTTAAGCAATTGAAAATTAATGAAAAACATATTCCCTTACTTTGAATTATTGGTGTCTTTAAATGAGTACAACTATTTCATGATTGACTGAATTTCGCCACAAAATTTGCTTTTCACAAGAGTGCAATAGTTCGAAATGCTACACGTCATGTAACCCTCAGAGGTAAAGAAGAAAGAGAGAGAACTTCAAAAGAACTATTCTAAGTTGAAGTGCTAGGAGAAAGAATTGTAACTCAACAAAGTTGAGAGTTTAATAAAAATGCAAGGTCAAAAAAGAGTGAATGTATCTGCGGCATTGACAACCATTTTGAGCGGTATTTCCAACAGTTTCAAGCCATTGGTTATTAACATCTTCAGGAACCCAACTAGACAGACATTCTACAGCTCACTACGTGACTTTAAACCAAATAACGAAGACCCCATGGATTGATGCAGCTATGCAAAGGATTTTTCCAGAATGATATACTGTAATAACAAAAATTTTTCTTACACTATGTTGGGGGTCAGTGAGCGAAGTCGTATACTGCTGGGGAACAGGGGTGTAACAGCAGTGCGGTGTTTCCCTCATATGACCAGCACGCCAGTTATGCTTTCTCTACACTCTGGAGAGAGGGGGTTAGAAAAGGTTGACCCCAAAAACTGCACATCCTGACTAACCCTACGGTGGTCCGTAACCGGCGTTGAGTTTACTAATACGGAATCAAACCAAGAAACCAGTTCATACAGGCCGTGTGGGACCGGCCTCAAGCAGTTGTCCCTTGGGCTCTGCGGTCACCCAACACTCTCTCTGTTTCACGTACCCGAAGAAAAAACTAACGTCCACGGTGTGCAGCTGGGAAGTAACAACCGCCCACACACTCCTAACAGCACATGAAGCCTTCCTGAGCATCATTATCCTCTAACCACATCACCTTCATCATCTTATTCCCCTACTTCAGTCAGTACTATTCTTCAGGTTAGTGAGGCACCTTCACTTCACTCTGTGACCACAAATAACGATGACAGCCATAGAAACACCTCAGATAGCCTTTTAAAGCCACGTCGCCAACTTCATATAGGAGCATTTAACGTCAGGACCCTCTGCCAAATTCAACAATAGGCATCACTAGCAAGAACTCTGCCATCTCGAGCCATAGATGCATGTTGTGTTTCGGTTATTCACTTAACCTCACCCAGTCAACAAAGTGAGTCTGAAAATCCACCTTCAGGCTGTCAGGCGACACCTCAGCTAGCTTGCGAGGACTCGCAGGTGTAGGGATAGCACTGAGTATTAGGGCGAGAAGATCACTTCTTGACTGGATCCCACCTGATGATCGTATGTGTGCGGGCCGTTCGAATGAGTCCGTTAAAAGGCGCAAGGACGGCGCTACCCGACGTTGCCTTTTCGTAGTCTCCGCTTACGACACAACAGGCTGCAGTTCAGATGAACTAAAGGATGATTTCTACCTGAAACTGTCTAATTTGCTGCATAAAGCAAAACGTTCAGATATAGTTGTTTTAGCAGGCGACTTTAATACCCAAGTAGGGAAGTTGTGCCAGATTGGGAAGTATGTAGGTGGTACGTATGGAGTCCCCTGACAACGAATCGACAACGGTGATCGTCTTTTACAGTTTTGCTCAAACAATCATCTATTTATAGTCAGCACTAACTTTAGGCACAAAGAGAGACACTGCGTAACCTGGCGACCTCCATCATCAAATCAACGCTGGACTCAGATAGACCACATAGCCATAGGGTATCGTTGACGAGGGTCAGTAGAAGACTGTCGCTCCTTCTGGAACATGTGCGTAGACCCCGATCACACCCTGGTTCGCGCGCGTTTATGCTTACGATTAGACGGACATAAGAAACAGTTACGTCCCCAACTAGACCAAGGGACTCAGGAGGAAATAGCGAAACGTGTATCTGAGGTCGATAGAAGGACTTCCCCGATGTGTCCTGGGACAACATACAGTTAGCTGTAGACACAGCTATGTAGCTGTTAATAGCCTGAAACCAAAGGTTATTAATAACCATTAGATCTCTACCGCCTCATCCAAGCTGACTGACGAAAAGACACTGATTCCGGTGAGCTCCGATTATGATGAGGAGCGAAAGCTATTCAAACGATAACTAGCAAGAAGTCTTTGCAACGACTCTGAACTGTGGTGGGCGACAAGAGCGAAAGAAATGGAAAAGGCATCGGCAATTGGTAACACCAGACAACTATTTAGACTCATCAGGGAAACGGGTGGGAGAAGACAAATCATTAGTGAGACAATCTCGGAAAAAATGGCACTATAATTAGCTCCCAGGATAGACGACTGGTTCGCTGGAAAGAGCATTATGAGGAGCAGTTTAATTGGCCCACAGCCACGCTCAACCTTCCGAACATCCAACACCTCCCTGAATGGGATATAGACACAGGTCCTCCATCCCTAACTGAGGTTACTAAAGCTGTCACTAATCTGAAACTAGGCAAAGCAGCGGGACCTGATGGAATGACTCCAGAGGTATTTAAGTATGGTGGAGACAGTTTACTGTCTGCATTAACTGAGGTACTAGGCAGCGTCTGGGAATCAGAGGAAGTCCCATCTGGTTAGTGTAAGTCACTGATTATCCCCATATACAAGAAGGGAGAAAGTCTCCCTATGATAATCACAGAGGGATCAGGTTGACTAATATAGTATCTAAAGTCCTAGGTTCAATAATATTGCGTAGATTGAGTGGCGCTCAGGAGGCACAAACACGAGAAAGCCAGGCAGGCTTTAGACCAGGAAGAGGGTGTATTGATCATATCTTCACCCTCCGACAGACTCTAGAACATACGCATTCCTACCGGCGTCCAACAGTCATTATATTTCTTGACCTGAAAGCGGAATTCGATTCTGTCGACCGAGAGGTACTTTGGCTATGCTTGGCTGTAAAGGGAATGACGAGAAAATATATTGCACTGATTAAGGCACTCTACTCGTACTCATACAGCCAGGTGAGGTCTTACGGCGAGCTGTCATCTGAACTGGTGACGACTAGTGGTGTCCGTAAAGGATGCCGATTATCCCCATTTCTATTCAACTTCGTCATAGATGTACTAATGGACTTAAGCGTAACTCACTTCAGCGATTCAGGGATTGACTTGCTACCAGGGAATAGTCTCGCTGACTTGGAATATGCAGACGACATAGTCCTACTGTAACAACAGAAGACAAGGGCCAGGCAACAGATCGTTTTATTATGAAAATCAACACGTATTTATATATATTTCACATACATTATTACAGCTTATGCAAGTAGACAAGCGCACTTATCTGATTGGTTGTTTATCAGAAGTTAGGCAGACAAACGCAGGCTTCGGATTGGTTGTTTGGGGATTCCTCGACAAATAGAGTTCTCTATCTGCGAATCATATTTTGCCACGTTAACTTTGCTGTGATTGGTTGTTAAATCAGCCTTGTACATATTTTCTCACGGCCTGCTCTCACCACACTACTAGGCGAGGACTCGGAAAAATGCAGTCTTCTAAACACCTTGAGCTGCAATCTACGAATGTTTGGTATGCGATTCGCTCCCGCCAAATGCAAGATGATGCTACAGGACTGGACTACACTGACTCCTAGATTAGAAATAGTGGGTGAAGTGGTAGAGCACGTTGGCCGCTTCACTTATTTGGGAAGTACCATCAGCCAGTGCCAACGGGTTGATCTCTGACGAAATCTCAGCACGGATACAGAGGGCTAGTTTCGCATATGCCAGTTTACGCCGTCTCTGGCGTAGACGTGATATCCAATTATCGACCAAAGGGCGGGTTTACTGCTCATCAGTCCGCTCTGTCCTCCTTTATGGTTGTGAGACCTGGCCATTGAGAGTGGAAGACATGAAAATGCTGGTTAGCTGTCTTTGATCATAGGTGACTGTGCTCTATCTCCTGTGTGAAGTGGTATGATAACGTGAGCAATATTGAGGTTAGGCGTCGAATGCTAGGTGAGGAGGGGAAATCAATCGACGAGGATGTGAAATTGCATCGACTGAGACGTTTAGGTCATGTGTTACGTATGCCTAGTCATCGCCTTCCTCGACAATAGGCAATGTTAGCTGACATAGGGTCAGGCTGGAAAAGAACTAGCCGCGGTCAAACCAAAACATGGCACCAGTCAATGGAATCCACAACATATAGTTTAAGCCAGTCATGTAAGAAGACGTAGACTTCCTCACTGCTTGGGGTCCTCGGGACGATTGAAACCAATAGCTGGATACAGTCGGTGATATGGCTCAAAATCTTTCTCAATGGCTGGCGCAGATGCATCCACTCCTTTTGACTTATGATTTCCAAAGAAACTATATTGTTCTTCGTTATTACTATTCCTTAGTCTTACACCTCTGTTTACTGTATGTATTGTGCATTTCTTCTACTATCTTCTCTTGCTTTGTGTGCTACATGGAGTGTGGCGACTTGAACTGCTGCACATCGGAGCAAAGTTCTATTTCGAAAACAGACAGGCAGACAGAATAACAAGCATTAAACAAGGAGAACAATCTAAATATAGCATTAAGGATTGAAAGGACCATGATTTTGTAGAGATTAAGTAAGGTTATAGAAAAGCCTGTGATTTTTCAGACTGATAGTGCACCGATCTTTCAAGAGGTCCTGGTACACACACACACACACACACAATAGGCAGCATCTAACACTTACCACATATCTTGATATATACATGGTATTGAGGGGGTATACAGATGTTCGACTATGAATGGAGTACCGAAGTGTTCGGACAGCCTGAAGTGACGGTAACTGCTGATGTCTGTGAACTATGCCCAATGTCATCATTCTTATAGACATATCTATGTACATGACGCTATCTAACTTTTCAAGAATAGACTTAATATCAAAAATCAGTCTCGATGATTTAGAGTGGGCAGATGATCTTGTCGTTCTAGGTGTATGCACCGTAAAGCATTCTCTGAAACAAACTAAGCAGAGGTTTGGGTATGTTTCGCATGCGATTAGCACCTGCCCAATGTAAGAAGACACTACGGTACAGATTTACAACAACACCTACTATATACACAGGTAGTGAAAATGGTTGAGTATGTTCACCACATCCCTTATTTGGAAACCTACATTAGTTATACTGAACTAACAGCCGACAAAATCTACAGATTTTTACGAAAAACTTATTTGCATTTGCGTCGTCTTCGAGAAAGCTATACATCAGAAGATGTGTGTGAAGTTGAGTAGTTTGTTTCACACAACTTTACGAGAAGGCTTGAGGGTTTTGATCAAAAATGCCTGTTTTTAATTGCTTGCGTTAAGTGGGACCATATGATAACTAATGAGATGAGAAGTATAGGGTCAGATAATGAAGCCAAGTCGACCGACGACCTTGTGACATTTCACTGACTGAGCTAGCTATTACATGTAAGATGTACGTCTCACCACTTGCGTAGACGAACAATGTTAATCGAAGTAGAACAAAGTTGGAAAGCAGTCAATTCAGAACACGGTGCAAATTCATGAAACCTTTGACTTTTTGTATGAGCGTATTGTTTCTGAGACAGTAAAACTTAATGCATGGGGATATTTTGCCGTTTACAAAGGTGCAGATGTCTATTCTAAAAGTGTTCCCTACTCTCATTTTTGTCTCAGGGCTTTTTGAAGTGTGACAACTTGAACTGATACACTGGTGTGCTGAGTTCCACATTAATTTGTTAGTTATTAGCAACCCAACGTTCATTGCACCAACCGTTATTGTTTATCACATAGACCGTGTGTTATTTGACGAACATTTATAAGGCAAAAACTGAGAAAAATAATGTGCAAAGAAAAACCAATTAAATGCGAAGATGAATCCAGCTGCAAACAGACAAGTATATTTTCAAGTATTGGTTTTGTAGGGACTTTGTTTGATTACATGGAGAATTTCATCATGAGCTGACATCAGTTAGAGAACCCCTGGAAAACCTGGGAGTACTGGACAGCTGTTTCGTCCCAAACTAGGACTTTACAATCAATTTCTCATTAAACTGTCATTGTTAGGATGTTATCAAGAAGCTTCAAAAATCAGTAGGCAGTGTTTATAGTTTTATTACTTCCTTTCTTATTTTCCATTTGAATTCAAATCTGGTACAAACCGATGTTTATCAGCAACGCATTCTATCATCTTAAGAAGTCATTTCCCTTCAGAAATTAATCTCTTTATATCCATGTAGTGTGTAGAATACTGTCACCGAAATTTTGGCGATACATTTTTGACCAATGACTAGAGTTGAAGCATTATATATCCAACCAATTATTAACCCGCATGTATTTTTATAACTTCAACAACTTACCCGAAATCACCCACAGTATACTTCTTTGTAGCCATCAGAATCATAGAAGTGAAAGACGTAAATGGTTTAATCAGTGTGTATTGAAGAGTGGCCTGTAGATGTTTTTAAAATGAATACCAGTCAGGATTAAATAAAATTGTATATACAAAAGTGAACTTATAACTTTACGGTTTAAATAAAAATGAAAACAAAGACAAAACATCAAGGTTTAGCAAAGGAAATTAATTTGAAATATTAGTCCAAAAAGTAATCCACAGAGAGTATACGCACTAAAGTACAGATTTGTTAATTTAGGTGACATTTTGAACTGACTGAAGGCCTAAACACACTTTATTTGTCTCTTGAACTCAAATATATGATACTTAGGTAAAATAGGAAGGTAAATAATGTGTGACAAAATTATTTAACTGGTTATTATTAGGAATACATGAAAGGGAATTGAACGACAGAACAGACTTATCCTGCTATACATAAATAAATACCCACTACAGTCCTACAAGAAGTCAATCGTGAGCCCGAAAACCTTAGTGGTAAGGTCTCTGACTGCAGCACTGGGTGACGTAGGTTCGAATCTCAGAAGGGATATGAGTTCCTTCAACGTTGCAGATACGCCTTGCTGACGAGTGCCAACTAGCATGAAACCTAGGTCCAAAGCTTCCTGCCGATTGCCTCCAACTATCTAATAACATAAAGAATGTTTCCAAATAGTGATCAAAATACTAAAACTATTCAGAGTAGATATCTTAAACAGGCCAACATAATAATTTCACTGATCAATACTACGCACATCAAAATGTCTAATAGCGAAAGACGTGAATGCCAGTAAATTTTAAGCAACGGAGATGCCATAAAATTCCTAGAAATTTGGTATTCAGATGACTCAGCCACCAGACACATTAGCGATCCGGTATATATATATATATATATATATATATATATATATATATATATATATATATACCAGCGTGGATAAATAGTTAAAGTCATCAACAGTTCGATACTCTGACGCAAACAGATAAGGTGATTAGTATCAAAAAACCTTTTTTCTACTGAAATGCATATTGTTTGTTAACTGGTCAACCATTTGATAAACGGCTCAGCTAATGGATGATAAGTCACATGACAAAAAAGTTAAATTCCAAGTCAAAGAAAACAGTCAATACTAGTGCGAATCAGCAACTAATCAGCACAAAGTTTTTCGGGAGATACAATTATATCATTCATGGAAAATTCAAATGAATTCACTTCATGCTGAAGTTTGCACCCAAGACGTCTAGAAATACAATGAAAGCTTCGCAATCAAATGACCCAGATCAGAGAACACAATCACATAAAAACATGGAACTATCCTGATGTGGTGAGTTTACACTAAGACCAACTGGTAGTATATTAGTCAATCATAATTAACAGGGATAAATCTAATTAACAAACTATTACCCCTGTCCAGGCAGAAAACGTCCTCTAAAAGAATGGTCTGGTACCAGTGTCCAGATAATTCACCACTTCTAGCAGACAAAAATTCTAACTTCTCAGATTACATTCTTTAAAGGAAATTCACTAAGTCATCCTGGCTTTAGTTCAAAGACTATACCTGCAAGTTTTCTTTTAAACGCATCTTTTTTAAAGAGGTTGATCAACCATTGTATGTTTTTACTTTATGTGATAAAATAACATTTCGCTGACTTCTAATTTCAATGAACTAGGAGTAACTTAGTCTATATAAGTACAACTGAATCTTTATGATCGTTTGTCAGTTTTACCAGCTGCTAGTCGTTTCGAAGTTCTATCAGCAATCAAGAATGAAGTCTTTAACGTTCTTTCCGTTACTCATCACTAACACCATAATGTTCTTGAGAACCCTTAGAATTTGTCAACACGGGCTAACATCCCAACTCAGTTGCTCACTCTTGATGGATTAAACTGTTACTCGCATCCTCTTTGAAGGACATTTGGGTAACCACTCCTAGAATCTTGCTTATGAACAAAACACTTAAGCGCAACATATGCATGATTTGATAATCTGCTGAATCTAGTAAAAAAGAATGTAATAGATAGATTCGTTGTCCAATAATAATGATATGTAACTTGTAAAGATTTATGAAGTCCGTTTCAAATTGTAAGGACTCCGGTAGCCATAATCCAAACTAAAGTATAATAGAACCACAGTGGGACTTTTATGAATCAATTTAAAAGAATCGTAGTCAAAACGATGCGTATACGAACTTCGGCTTTAACACAACCTAACATCACAAAGTGCAAACTAAATGAGAAAAAAACAATGGTACTATTTCGCCACAATAAAAGATTAAGAAGGAGTAAAATAAAAATAGAAACAAAGCAGTTTTATGGAACACAAAGTGGAATTTTTGGTCAATAGGTTTCGAATTCTGGAGCCTATCACCTATAATACAATGTATAGCATTGGTTAGATAAACTAACAATAACTTTTTGTAATGTCGCACACTATTCTAACCACATTTTGTCTTCCCTACTTTGATTGAAGATTATGTATGGATAATAGATTTAGGTAAGCAAGCAACCTAAACATAACTTCACTATCTATTCAACTACTTCATATGTGACTGCATACTTCATACAAACGCATTATTCAGACGCTAACGCAGAAACAAACATGATGTAAGTATAACAAAAGCAATCTTCAACCATGCACTGAATGAAATCTCCATATAATGCAACGTGTTAGAAAATTATAACGTCATATTGGAACGGTAGAAGACGAAGACTTGGTAAATGAATCTTTATTTCACAATTGGTATTCCTATAAAGCCAAATTATGTATGCCTTATCTTCAAAGGACCATTTGCACAGATCTTCGTGTTGTGAGCTGCTATCTCATTGAAGTTTTCCACGAATCGACTATAAAACGCTGCTCTCCCCAAGAATTGCTTTAGCTTCTTCTTGGAATTCGGGGCCGTAATGGTTTTTATCGATAAGATTTTCTCCGGTAACGATTACCTCACCGTTGCCTTCTTTACGAACAAACAGCGCAACACTGCGTTTGGCTATCTGAGATTTGGTTTTGTTAATGCGCAGTCCAAACTCTTCCAGGCGTTTTAACACAGCTTCGATGTAGTTCACATGGTCGCTTTCATTTTGACTGTAGATGACGAGATCACGAACGTGCAATTCTACATTCTTCACGTTAATACATAACAGCATCACTAGCCCTCTGAAGGTAAATTGTGCTCTTGCTAGTTCAAATAGCATGCGTTTAAGCCAATACGTTTTTTGTCCCACGATGAACGCCGTCTTATCTGTCTTTCTGTTTCATCGGTATCCGCCAATATCCTGACCGGAGATTGAGCACTGCAAACAACTTCACGCTTTGTAAACGATCCAAGGTCTCTACTACAGCTGGCATGGTACAGTCTGAGATCTGTCATTCTGTTTGACTGTAGGAATTCAGCAGCAGAATCTAAACTTCCCGTTTGCTTTCTTCACTAAAAGAACTGGAGAGTTATATGGGCTGTCAGCTTCTTCAGTAATATCATCTTGTAACATATCCATTTGTCACTCAAATTGGCCTTCCAAATAACATGGAACTCTTCGTGTTGTGAATGGTACCATTTTGCAAAAGCTCAGTGGGACTTCATGCCTCACTTTATCACAGTAACCGTAGGAGTCCCCATCTCCAGTGAACAGATGGTCGTATTCTTTAACTAACACAGACATATTCTGTGCTTTCGATGCCGTAACGCTTGCAAACTCGCTTGTCTCATACATGCTGATAGGTCCATACTACGTAATCACTATCCTTCGTGTTAATCACCGCACCGACCTCTCACAGAAAACCAGTGCCAAGTATTGTCGCCATAACTCGGACACAACAATGAACGGGGAAGTAACTTCACGATAGCCAATAAAAACGCTACAGTTTGACGTGCCGGCGATGCTGAACACGTGTAGAACTACCGTCTGAACTATCAATGAACACGGTCTGACGCTATGACATAGCTTCCTATCTACTAGTGAGATTGCCTCCCCTGCATCTATCAGACATACTACTCGGCCATTCACTCGGGATTTAGGATACATTGCCCTCTCCTCTCAATAGCCCCACTACTTCTGGTCTGACAGAAGAGAAAGAGCACACATTCTGTCTGAAATTTTTTCTTCTCCTTCTTTCTGAGCAGTGCCACCTTCAGTGTCCCGCTTTGCCACATTCAAAACACAGGTCTTTCCTGGCATCCATTCGTAGTGCCGCTACTTCACACTGCAAATCTTCCAATTTCTGTTTGCATTCGTTTAATTTCAATGGCTCTATTGCTGCTACCGTTGTGCTCAGCAGCTGCCTGGTCACCTTCACCAGCTCACCGATATCCATGGGTTGTGCGGCCTTAACCTGTTTTAGTTGCATGATCTGGGAAACTCTCGATGAACTGGGATGCCAATAACTGCGACTCCGACTCTTCATTCAATGTGGGGAGTGCATGACGTAGCAGATTCGACAGCTTCACCGCTAACACTAACAGGTCTCAAGCTTCGCGGCACAGAACTGCTGAATTGTTAGCTGCCTGTCCGTCAGGCTGTCGAACTCCACCACCAATCGTTCAACCACCAGCTTCCAGGTCTCCATCCCATCTGACTGCTCAACAGTCATACGCCGCCTTCGCTCGACCCCAACACGACCGCCTTCACCGTCGGATTCTTGACATCCACCAATTCAGCGACGCTTCAAAGTCCCGCAAGAAGCTCCTGATGTCCACTTCCTCAAAAGCAGCCGTCCAAGGAATCTTCATTGTCTGAAGGCAGAGACACCAACTGAAACAGTTGAAGACGAGGACTTCGTAAATGAATCTTCATTTCGAAATTGGTATGTCTATATAGCCAAATTATGTATACCTAATCTTCAACGCACCATTTGCACAGATCTTCGTGTTGTGGTACTTCTAAACTTCATACTGTTTTCTTTGTATTCCTTTCACGTCTCCCATGAATCTCCACAACGCCGTATCATTTGCCTTCTGTGACACAGAATGTATTTCTCTGCTATTTGATGTTTTCATGCTGATTAACGTCTCTTTATATACTGTTGATAAATCTTATCAGTAGCACTCGCCACATTTGACTG